ATTACAAAAATGTTAATACAATCTCTGGGGATATTGCCGTACTTCACAACAAGAAAGATTGAATATATGTAACTCCCGGGGAAATGCATGTACAAAATTAATACGGGTCTGGAGGAGAAGAGCTCCAAAAAAACCAAAAAGCATTATGCATAACAATTACTTAATTAATGACTTACCTCTGTTAGGATCCAGCTTTCTCATGTAAATACTGGATGCAGCAATTTCAGAATCCGAATGCCTTTTGAGAATAATACCTGAATGTATAACATCCGTCCTATGATACTTTGGACCTATACCGTGCGTGGTTTCTTACCAAATTCTAGATGTTGTTGGTCCAATGAACTATATGTCGGATACACTCTAAATTGTAAAAAAGTTAGTGTATCGCCACTTACTGTAGGTGGGTTGATATCAGTCTGTTGAACCATACCTTATGTAGATCAGATAAACTGCATTTGTAGTTCATATGAACAACCTTAGCACTAGTCTGACATTAAAAATGTGTACATCCGACCTACAAAATGTTATGCATACGACCTACAATAAGTGTATGTACATCTGACCTACAAATTTGTGTGTAACTGGAACGCCGATCCTTAGTAGCAATAGCAATAAAGTTCCTCCGCACGTAGGTCGGATTAACAAAATAAAATGTACATCAGACCTATACTGCTGTCATAGTTCATTGACGGTCTGACCTAAAGAGCGATTTATGAAACCTCCCCCCCACCCTCTTACCAATTTTGTACATGACCTCTTTTTTATATGCAATTGGGGTCTGTCCTAGTGAACGATTTTGGACCCCCCCCCAAGCCCCCCCCTATCAATTTTGTACATGCCCAAATTAGTATTTATTTAGCATTATTTAGGGTTAGGTTAGGTTAGGACACTTTCTGGGCCGAGCGCTGCGGCTAGGTTGGGCTCGGGGCCGAGCGCTGCTGCCACGGGTTAGGTTATTTGAGACACTTTCTGTGCCGAGCGCTGCAGCTAGGATGGGCTAGGGGGCCGAGTGCTGTGGCCATGGGTTAGGTTAAGTTGAAACACTTTCTGTAAGATCCATGTACAAAATTAGGAATATACCTGCAATTGATTATAATTATTTATTTTTCATTATTTTAGAGTTTTAAAGTTTATGACGATTTCTGGGCTGAGCGCTACGGCTTTGACAGACTGGTGAGCCGAGCGCCGGGCGCATTGCGGCCATAGGACCAATTTTTACAAAAGGGGGGGGGAGGGGGGTTGGTCCAAAAATCGATGTCTAGGAAATTACCAATTTGAGTCGTAAATAATCCATTCTATATACATTATACAACCCTGACTATCATACATGTTTTCTTTTAACATGCATAAAAATTAACACAGTTAAATAATCACGGACTTTTATATGCAAGGGTGGAATGCTTTATTCCCGTAACACTATAAATACAAACTCCAAACTACATAACTTTGTTGATGTATCTTCACCGCTAGTGCGCAGTTGAAAATAATGCCGCACACCGTTAAACCTTTTCCAAAAATCCGGTTTGAAATTCGCGAAATCAGGAGTCGATAAATAGGGACTGTTCACAACATGACTAAAATAAATTTAAAATAAAATATATTTCCTTTATTTTAATAATGACAATTAATTTTTATTTTCTCAAAATGTTCCTCACCTTGACTTTTATATTTTTAATATATAACTTTTTTACATTTTATGTCGTCGTTAGTTAATAATTTAAAAAAAACTCATTCTGTAAGATGACTGTCCACAATTCAGGAGTTTTGAACGTCGAATTTGCCCTCAAACTCAGGATTTACAGATCTTTATATGAATGTATGTATATGTAAGTTTTATATGTATCAAATGAATCCTAATGAAGCTTTCCACAACACTGTGTCCTCAGTTCAACTACCTTACATAGCCAGTCACTCCCTTTAAAGGGAGTGACTGACTATGTAAGGTAGTTGAACTGAATATGCAGTGTTGTGGAAAACTTCTTTCGGATTCATTTGAAACTTTTTAAAGATCTGTAAATCCTGAGTTAGAGCGCAAATTGGACGTTCAAAACTCCTACTTTGGGGGTGGATACGTTTTCAGAATTAGTTTTTTTAAATTGTTACCCAGCTAACTTTCGATCTCCGCCGTGGTTTGGGCTCCAGATTTCCGCTATATCTCCTCTTTCGTAGGTGCGATGGCGAAGTAATTATGTACCACCAATCATAGTATATACTCCATATATATCTCCGCCGTAGATACTCTGTCGAAGGTGTGAGGGTGGAGTAATTACGTACTCCATAGTATATACTCCATATTTCTGATATATCTCCTCTATCGTAGGTGCGATGGCGAAGTAATTACGTACCACCATAGTATTTACTCCATATATCTCCACTGTAGATACTCTGTCGAAAGTACGAGGGCGGAGTTATTACGTACCTCCATAGTATATACTCCATATTTCTAAAATATCTCCTCTGTCGTAGGTGCGAGGGCGGAGCATTTATGCACCTTCATAGTATATACTCCATATATCCCCGCTGTAGTTCCTTTTTAGTAGGTGCGACAGTGAAGTGATCAATATACCGCCGTAGTATATAATCCATGTTGTCGCTGTCGTATATACTAAAGAGGAAATCAAAGTAACTAAATCAAACATTTGAACTGTTAATTTTTTATCAACCCGCGCAGCAGCAGTACACTCATGAGATTCAGTTACTCTCAAACTCTTCAACATGAAACACCCATGTGAATCTATCCCGTGTGATATTAATCCAACCAAGGAGCCTGTTGTTAATCCAACCAAGGAGCCTGATGTAAATCCAACCAAGGAGCCTGATGTGAATCCAACAAAGGAGCCTGATATGAATCCAACCAAGGAGCTTGATGTGAATCCAACCAAGGAGCCTGATGTGAATTCAACCAAGGAGCCTGATGTGAATTCAACGCAAGGAGCCTGATGTAAATCCAACCTTGGAGCCTGATGTGAATCCAACCTTGGAGCCTGATGTGAATCCAACCAAGGAGCCTGATGTGAATCCAACCAAGGAGCTTGATCCAACCAAGGAGCTTGATCCAACCAAGGAGCCTGATGTGAATCCAACCAAAGAGCCTGATGTTAATCCAACAAGGAGCCCCATTGTGAATCCAACCTTGGAGCCTGATGTAAATCCAACCAAGGAGCCTGATTTGAATCCAACCAAGGAGCCTCATGTGAATCCAACCAAGGAGCCACATTGTCAGGGGCGGATACAGGATTTAAGTGAGGGGGGGTAAGATTTATTAGGAACCAAAATATTCAGAATTAGGGGGAAAAAATCGTCCAGCAGGAGAAAATTTTTTTGACTTAAAATACTCAAAAAGAGTCAAAATTAGTGACTAAAGACTAAAATACTAGATTTTTAACTTTTCGCACATTATAGTTTATTCAGACAGATATTTTCCCGTCAGGACATTTGGAGGAAAGGTTATTCATGGTCTAAATTTGGGTTATTAATTGTATACATGATAAAATGGTAAATGAAGACTCTCATAATTATACAGTTCTCTCCAAAATAAAATGGTAAGTATTGACTACTTTTCAAAATATACACCACAGTGCTTCCCAAAATAAAATAATAATAATTGAAAACTTCTCAAAAATATACAGTGCTCCCCAAAATAAAATAATAAGCGTTGAAAACTTCTCTCAAATATACAGTGCTCCTCAAAATAATATGGTAAGCATAGACGACTTCTCTTAAATATTCAGTGCTCCCCAAAGTAATATGGTAAATGATGACTACTTTTCATAAATATACAGTGCTCACCAAAATAATATAGTAAGCATAGACGACTGCTAATAAATATACAGTGCTTTCCAAAATAAATCTTCTTTTCTCACTTTCTCTTTCTTCCTTTTTTTTCTCTTCTTATTTCTTCCTTCCATTTACAGTAACATACAATAATAAAATGGTGAAGTGAAGACAAATTTATTTAATATGCAATCTTTTTTCAAGAAGCACTTATATTTATGAATGGTAATCATCATTTACCATATTATTTTGGGGAGCACTGTATATTTATGAGCAGTCGTCTTTGCTTACTATATTATTTTGGGGAGAAATTAGGAACAAAATTAAAGGATTAGGACAGGGATTTAGGAACAATAAAAAGATTGTTCATGAATTAGGAATGTAGAATGTAGACATCGGTAGTATATACTACATCGTATGTACGACAGATCTTGGTGGGTGCCGTTTACTATACCGCCAGGACCTACATCGGACATGATGATCGGAGCTCCGCCCAACTCTGGCGAAGCCTGTCGTATAAACGAGGCAGTATAACCGAAATCGGTTATTTTGCTAGCTGGGATAAAGAACGACAACGAAAAATAAAGTAAAAATTATACAGAAAACTAATTAGATGGTTAGGAACATATTTCTCAACAGAAATTTGTCAATAAATCAATGCTAAAAACCGATTTTCGTTTTCATTATTATATTGAATTTCTTATTTTCTTTGAATTTATTCACAGATTTCTACAAATTTTTCAAATGTCGTCTTTTTAATAATAATTCTAGAAAATCTGCAGAAAATCTTTGTGAATAATGAGAAAATAGAAACTAATAATTGAACAAGATTACTTATTTTCAATGATAAGATTATTTTTTTCCTATACATGATGTCTGTAGTTTATTGTAGATTTTTTTTACATGTTATGTCGTCGTTATTCAATAATTTAAAAAAGCTAATTCTGAAAACGGATCCACCCCCAAAGTAGGAGTTTTGAACGTCGAATTTGCGCTCAAACTCGATTTACAGATATTTAAAAAGTTTAATATGTCTCAAATGAATCCGAAAGAAGTTTTCCATAACACCTGCATATTTAGTTCAACTACCTTACATAGCCGGTCACTCCCTTTAACTTATTAAGATTCATTCATTGGCTTATTTTTAAATGTCAATATTAGCATGACAAAGATGAGATTAAAATTATTTTTAAATTTTTTTAATCCAAGCTGGAAGTTATTACTAATCTGAAAAAATTAACATGAAATCCAAGTTCTTATCTTTCATTTTGTTTTCAGGTTTTTGGTCTCGGCATGTTGGAGAGATCTCTCAACCTCCTGTAGCAGTTCCTATACATCCTGCTGAGCACTATCATCTTCACACTAAACCAGTCCCGGACCTGCCTCCGGATACACCTGTAGTCAGGGACCCGGACGCGTTTATCTACTTCAGGGAGAACGAGGGCAGATTTCTAGCAGGAGGGTTTGAACCTATTGTAAGATATTTTTTATTATTTAGAGGAATTTTGAAATTTGAAAATAATTTCTTCAAATGTTATGATTAAGGACACCATATTTAGCATTTTGGGGAAATTTATTTGATGGAGAGGAACGGGGGGGATGGCGGAGATATACAATATTTAAACAATTATGAATACTGACGAAGTAATTACATCCTGATTGCATTTTCATTCAAAATGAAGAAAAGTCTAAATTGTTGTCAATTATTTCCTTTTAAAAAAGTGGTTACTCTCAAAAAGCTCTAATTCTCTAATGCAACCTTTGATATATCATATTTAAACTGAATATTAAAGGTCTATAACATCAGGTATTAGGAAAACTAGAGTTAGAGGCTAGTAATAAGTTCCGTTCTTTTATTCTTGTCTTTTTTGTAAGCTAAACATTGAGGGGTATGCTATAGATGACACAAAAGATCTTAAGTGTTGTCAATTATTTGCCATAAAGAATCAGTTTTCTCTGTTTTAATTCTCTAAATCCCATATTTATTGCAACTTAATGGTGTAAACCTTTGATATTTCAAATAAACTAGTTTGACATATCAAAGGTTTTTCATCAGGTTTCAAAGATAATGGGATTAAAAAACTAGAATTTGTCGGAAGCTCCTTTATTCTTGTTAAGGCTAAACCTGCCTACCAAGATGAGGATCTGCCTAGTAACCGACGAGATATAGAGGAGGACTGGGATCATTTTCATCTTCTTCTGGAGAATATTCTTCACAGGTTGGAATACACTGATATTATCTTCTTATTCAAGAATTGAGATTTATCTATGCATATGGTGAACAGCTCCCACCATGAACCATGTACTGTATAGCACCCTTAATTGGCTAAATTTGTACTCTATGTACTGTAAAGTACTGTATGTAATAATGACCACAATTAACTATTTATACAACTAGCTTGGGAACCCTGCGTTGCACAGAGTACTCATCGTTACTCCCGCCGTTTACCCGCACTTACACGATTTTTACCGGGAAACTAATTTTTCGCTATAAATTCGACCCACTTATCTAAGAATCTCAAAACCAAGCAAAGAACATTCTTGTGGGTCTCCCGAGTTCCCCAATCTAAATTTGAGGCAAATCGGTTCAGTGGTTCCTGAGTTATAATCGGACAAACAAACTTACACCCAAACAGAGATTACAACTGTGAATATATATATATAGATAGATATATTATATACTTAATGCAAGAGTAACCAACATAAACTATATATGTACTTTATGTACTGTAGAGTACCCACCATGAAGTCTGCCCTACTGGAGAGTCTATGTAATGGAGCTGAAGCTTTTTCTCCAGACGGAAAATGGGTTTTAGGAATATATTCAGTTCAACAAAAATTCTAATTTGGTTCACTTTTTATCATGGTTTAACTAAACTTTGTTTTTGTGGAATGGAATTGACGTTCCATGATTCATTTCTTACCACTATATTTAAATTTTATAAAAACTATAATTGATCTTGTTTCAGCCACTAACCAAATATATGTTTTCCATTCTGAACTGAAAAATACAGGACAGGCAACTGAAATCGCAAACTACTATGTGGCGGCGGGTATGCGAAGTAACGGTATTGCCTCCGCCGGCGGTGTGGGAACGATTATAGCGGATTGGATTGTGAACGGTAGACCGCCATTTGATCTGTATGGATTGGATATATCACGTTGTCTCGGTATGCACAACAACAAAAGGTGATTATTATTATTTTTATGTCATAAACTAAATTTCCTTACAAACAAACAAATTCTATAGCGATTTAAAATCTTTCGAACACAATTTAAATTGCTGTAACTTTGTGACTTGAAGGGACAGTTTATGTGTTTATGTAAGTTAGGTGACCTACTATTAACAGAGAGTGGAATATCCGATTCGCAACCTTTAAACAAGGAAGAATATATCATCCCCACTTTTACAGAGACACTCAAATTTAAAATAATTGATTGTAAGGAAAAAGGAGATCTCATTAATCCTTGATCAGATAAAGATTTCGAGGGTACTGCTGTGAATCTTACGTGTCACTGGAGGGTCACTTGAAATAAAGTCAACATTCCCTTCAAAAGTTTTCTGATGTTGAATATTCCAGGTTCCTGAGGGATAGAGTCAAGGAGGTTCCAGGTTTAAACTGTTCCATTAACTTCCCTCATGAAGAGTTTACAACGGGCCGAGCTCTTAGAACTAGTCCTATCTTCCCTAAACTACAGCTAGCAGGAGCACAGTTCGGTCAGGTATACTTGATAGCTCTTAGAACTAGTCCTATCTTCCCTAAACTACAGCTAGCAGGAGCACAGTTTGGTCAGGTATACTTGATAGTTCTTAGAACTAGTCTTATCTTCCCTAAACTGATGCTGGCAGGAGCACAGTTCTGTCAGGTATACTTGATAGTTCTACGAACTAGTCCTATCTTCCCTAAACTACAGCTAGCAGGAGCACAGTCTGGTCAGGTATACTTGATAGCTCTTAGAACTAGTCTTATCTTCCCTAAACTGATGCTGGCAGGAGCACAGTTCTGTCAGGTATACTTGATAGTTCTACGAACTAGTCCTATCTTCCCTAAACTACAGCTAGCAGGAGCACAGTCTGGTCAGGTATACTTGATAGCTCTTAGAACTAGTCTTATCTTCCCTAAACTGATGCTGGCATGAGCACAGATCTGTCAGGTATACTTGATAGTTCTTAGAACTAGTCTTATCTTTCCCAAACTGATGCTTGCAGAAGCACAGTTCGGTCAGGTTTGTATCCCCATAAAGTTTTGGAATAGGAAGGCGACTTTTAGACTTAAGTTATGATTCTAAATAGTCCAATGAACATGAAACTCTGCAAATTGTGCAGTTATCATAGACAGATTTCACTTAGTTGATTTTTAGGCTACTGGTGAAGTTATTTGATTTAATTGATTGATTTGATTTGATTTGATTTGATTAACTAGCCTCAAGATTGATTAAATGTCTTCTTCCTTTTCCACAGTTTTATGAATCGCACTGTATATAATAGACAGCTCTTGCAACTAGTCCTATCTTTCCTAAACTACTGCTCTCATAGTTAATGAGTCCTTGAAGTTAAGATCTGAACTTAAAAACCCCAATTCTATATATGTTTCATGTTTCATATAAATTATTTAATTTCCAGGTTATGGGTTATGAGAGACCAATGTTCTTTAAGATGGCTGCACCTCAATCCCTTGACCTCGGTCTCCTGGGTCTTGACTCTCAGGATGATGCAACCTCTAATCAGGTCAACACCAAATCTTATTTGTTGATCATGACCTCACGTTCTTTTTGATCTATTTTCTTCCTTTTATTTCATTTTTTGCTTCAATTTTATCCTACTTGTTAAACCTTTTAAATATTTTTATTCATTGTTTGACAGATGTGTGCTTAAAGATTTTTCTATCCATGGAAATTGTTATTATCCCTAAGAAAAGTGTTTTTATTTTAGTTCTCTTAAAGATAATGTTTTGTGTTTTAGGGTCAGACATTGAAATTACCGATTGCCAAAACTGAAACCTTTTACAGACCACCATGGTTCCAGGTAATACTTGGAAGTAACTTAGAAGTATAGATATAAGATACAGAAACGCAAGGAGCAGTAACACGAGTGGAAGTAAAAATATAAATATATATATAAGGGACGATTTAGTTAATGTAGACTAGAGTAATGTTGGCTATATAACGAGGGGGGCAGTGAAGAAGTCCTCAATGGGTAATTACCGCCACCCAAACCTGTTTTGCGGCATGCGCGCTCCTCTATTGGTAATCTCCATCACCTCAATTGGTAATCAGACAAAAAAGCGTAACATTAAATCGTTTATTTCTTAGAAATGAGGCCATATTGACCCTGTTAATGGCCCTATGGTGTACAATATTGTTAAAGCTTTCTTTATTGCTACTCAGTTTCGAAAATAAATCTATAATATGCCACATGATGCACTAGAAATGCCACTTGTTAACCCTGTGATTTTTTTTTATAAATATATTTACGTTGTATTTTTCAATAAAAGTTTGAAGAAGAAGAACGTTTTTAATTTCAAGTTTCGCTTCAATAATGTTTGCAGCATTTTCCTCTGATTGTTTTTGTTTTAAACTCCTTATATATCACATCTTTTATGAACGTAATAATAACTATAAATTATGTTAGTTTGAAATGTACGACTCAAATGGCAATCTAATGGCAATCTATGCCCCCCCCCCCCCATCCCCCTCCCCTCTGGATCAGCATTTAGGGAAGCTGTAACTTTCTGTTTTTTTAGGCAGCTGCTGAAGAGTTCCAGGCAACTAGGGAAGCTGTAACTCTTTGTGACTATTCATCTTTTGCCAAAATGGATCTTTGGTCTTCAGGCAGAGAGGTAACTATTTCAGCTTTTTTTCTCCTTACAACTTTCTTATAGTTAAGTACATACTCTTATGAAAACGATTAGTCAAAAAAATAATTTTGTTCTCATTTTGTAGCAATTTGAAATTTTCTTCTCCATTTTGGGTATTTTAACAATTCAAGAGATCACTAAATCTTCTTTGAAAATTATGAATTAATGGAATGTGGCGTGTGGGCTTCTAGTTAGTTTTGATAACCCGTAGATGATTCGTATCTCTAGGTTGTAGATTTTCTGCAGTATCTCTGCAGTAACGACGTTGATATCCCTGTCGGCCATATTGTTCATACTGGGATGCAGAACCAACATGGAGGATATGAGAACGATTGCAGTGTTGCTAGACTATCAGAGAACAGGTTGAAAATAAGATATTTTGGCTAAACTTAAAACTAGGAGGAAAATATTCTTTGACCTAAAGTTGAGATGGTTGGGTTGAAATGAATGAAATGAATTGATCCATAATTTGATCCGTTATAATTTATTTCATCACCTACACTAGTATCTAGATTATTTATATCTTGTTTTATCTTCTTCCTCCCATCCTTTTAGCCCCATGCTTCGCATGGATAATCATTGCTGATAGTCTTCTTAGTGTTAATCGAGACGGGACCTAGAAATCAAAAGTTACAGACTCAGAAAGTATCAAAACTTTTAAAGGAATTTAAAATTCGTTTTTGATATTTATGTTACAATTTACATATAAATCTTTAGTTTTTGTATAAACGTGTTGGGATTGCTGTTGAATATTCCTGATTATTTGATATTATTGATATTTTCTATATTTACCTCCTCCTCTTCAACTGATTCCTCTACTGTTGGTTTCTTTCTATCCGCTTCCATGCTAAATATTTAAATTTTTAAGAACTTTTAAAAATAAAAATTCCATAGACTATATCCATGCCAAAAATGTTTAAGTCTCCATATTGAAAAAAACTTCAGGGAAAAGAGACCAACAGGCATTGTACCCTCTGAGAATAATCTCAAAATATTCCGGTGGTCTTTATTATTCCATCAAATGGTCTTTTTCTGGAGAGTCAGAACTTATGATTTGTGAATCTCGAAATTAAGCATTGAATTTCAACTTGTGCAGATTTACGGATTTAATCTAATTCATCCTCGATGTCCACATTGGATATCGAAATTAAGCGTTCAATATTTAAAAGCTCATATCTCTGGTTTACCTGACTTCATCTTCCAGCTCCTTTTTTCTGTATAATCCTCCACTAGGTTCAAATCCTTCATACTTCATATCCTCCAGGAGTGAGAGTATATCTCTATCTCCAATCCTTCTCTTTAATTCAGTAATCTCACTCTCACACCTTCTCAGTATCTAGAAATATATTATCTATCCAGTATTCTCACTGACACACCTTCTCAGTATCTAGAAATATATTATCTATCCAGTAATCTCACTCTCACACCTTCTCAGTATCTAGGAATATATTATCAATCCAGTAATCTCACTGACACTCCTTCTCAGTATCTAGGAATATATTACCATTCCAGTAATCTTACTCTCACACCTTCTCAGTATCTAGGAATATATTATCATTCCAGTAATCTTACTCTCACACCTTCTCAGAATCTAGGAATATATTATCAATCCAGTAATCTTACTCTCACCTTCCCAGTATCTAGGAATATATTATCAATCCAGTAATCTTACTCTCACACCTTCTCAGTATCTAGGAATATATTATCAATCCAGTAATCTCACTGACACACCTTCTCAGTATCTAGGAATATATTATCATTCCAGTAATCTTACTCTCACACCTTCTCAGTATCTAGGAATATATTATCTATCCAGTAATCTTACTCTCACACCTTCTCAGTATCTAGGAATATATTATCTATCCAGTAATCTTACTCTCACTTTCCCAGTATCTAGGAATATATTATCATTCCAGAGCTGGGAACTTTTGAATGGTGGATATCGGGATTAATGCTTGATCCACTCTTTTTCTTAATCTCACGATTAAATAATGTTTGTACTCCTTTTATTATTAATCTGAAGATTAATTAACCAATCGGGATTAAGGATATCACAATCTTAAGTTTTCAGCTCAGTAATCTTACTCTTACACCTTCTCAGTATCTGGGAATACATTATCAATCCAGTTATCTCACACCTTTCAATATCTAGGAATATAATATCAACCCATTGCTTTACTTATACTCTGCCCTGAGGTCGGGTTTAATTAATGACGAGTATCACAGTAAATTTCTTAACGCTATTCATAACATCCGACGCTTTTTGATTAGATCAAATTTAAAAAATATATTACTGATTGTAGGCACGGACATTAATCAACAATCAACTGCTTTGTTTAGAACTAAATCCAAAAAATGGTTATATGTTATGCTAAATCCAAAAATGTTTATATGTTATGCTAAATAGATTTTAGAATGCTAAAAATATTACCTTGGTGAGATCTTCATTGAAATGTTCTGGGCCAACTATTCCTATCAGATTTGTTCTGAACAATCAATATTTGGGATGGGGGGGGGGGTCCATTGCATTTAATATTTTTTTCAATAGCTTTTTAACGAAGATGGCCTGGTATCTTATTCCCAAATGTTCTAAGAACACGAAAATGCTGTATAAGCCTATTTATTATAGTTATATCTGTTTTTTGGTAGGGTCCACTTTGTTCATTATTTTAAAAACTTTTATTGGATACTACCTTAGTTCTCTCTTTTTAAAGTTAATGGCTTTAGATATAACACGATTATTTAATTACCGTATACTCTGTATATGCCTGTGAACCCTAGCTAGCTGGTCCAGAAGACGACCTTTTTTCTCCAGTGATTCTTCAATATCAAGCTCAAGTTCATTTATTTTAACAACTGCTGAAGTATTCTCATCTTGGCTCAAATATCTTAACAGGGAACATTAAAGGGAGGGTTCACGAATAATTTTTAGGGTGGGAAAGAATCGATTTTACGCAAATTCATAATAGTTCAATTGTTAGATTTTTTGAAATTTCGAAATATATGTAAAATTTCCCATCGATAAACACCGATTAGAAGTGTTTAGCACTAAAACTAAAAAAATGTAAAACTTCAAACTAGCACGATTTCTCAATTTTAGTGTTCATTGAATGGAAATGTTGCATAGATTTCGAAAATGTTTAAACAAAAATAATATTTGAAATATCATGAGAGCTCAGGACCTATGAGATCGTTTTTATTTTGGGTCACCCGGTACAGTGAACATTTACTTGGTATTACCTGACGCTTTCCCATTCCTGCTGCAAGTCATCCTTCTCTACTCCAAACAGACGAACATCACTTTCTGCTTTCTTCTGTTGAGCATCAAGGATCTTAATAGAATCAGATTTTCAGAAGATTACTGTACTTTCCGTAAAAGGACGTTTGTCGTAATTCATCCGTAAAGAGGCTATGGCCGATTAACTTTATCTTATGCATAAATCTGGCAGATATGGTCGTTTTTCAAGCTTATAAAAAAAATTTATCTATAATTTTTGTAGCATATATTAGGAAGTGTCTTATACAGAGAAGCCAAGATTAAGAACATTTAACTCTTAATTGGTAAAACCCATTAATATAGTATTATTCTAAATCAGGCCAGCTATTGGTACCGTTGTAAATCGGACAAATGGAGGGTCATTTGAAATTAAAGTAAAAAGATTAAATTAAACTAGGACCTCAGTTGGTTTGCGGTGCTCTTTTTTCTCGGTGTACCTGAGAAGTGTATCCTTGAGTCCTGAATCTCTCAACTACGTCCTTAATATCCTCAACTCCAGCTGATTTCTTCATCTTCTCAAATGCATCCTCGTAGTTCTCTTCTTCTTCCTCCTCAGAAACATCCGACTGAGAGAATATTCGTATAATCGTTACTAAGGAAAGCTTAACAATGCTTGTGGTTTATTTCATTTTTTATTTTACCGCAAAGCAAACCCACTTTTCAAATTTTAAAAGTTGACTTTTTTCAAACCTGACTTGTTTCATCAAATACTGCGGAACCTAAACGTACAAAAACTATTTAAAATAAGTACTTTTATTTAAAATAGAATGCTTACATGCAATAATTATATTTTAAAATTGGAATAAATGTTTTGTTCCTGAAGTTGAAGAATTGATATCTACTGGTTTTGATGAGAAAGAGCTTCCCATGTTTCTGGTGAGGAATCCGTCAACATGGAGGAATGCTTCTCTTCTCTCAGATAATCTTCGTTTAGTGTCCGCCAGCTTCTTCTCCCGTTCTTTGTGCTCAATCTGGTACCTGGAGTAATTGTAACAATTCTACACCAATAAGATATTATGCTGTACCACCCTCGTAGAAGTTTAAACGTTGTTAAAGGAAGTGACTGGCTATGTAAGGTAGTTGAACTGAGTATGCAGTGTTGTGGAAAACTTCTGTCGGATTCTTTTGAGACATATTAAACGTTTTAAAGACCTGTAATTCTTGAGTTTGAGCGCATATTCGACGTTCAAATCTCATACTTTTGGGTGGATACGTTTTCAGAAATATTTTTTTTAGTTATTTACAGGATTAGGATTTACAGATCTTCAAAAAGTTTAATATGTCTCAAATGAATCCGAAAGAAGTTTTCCACAACATTGCATACTCAGTTCAACTACCTTGCATAGCCGGTCACTCTCTTTGATGAAAGTTTCAGAAAAAGTGTTTCACTCCCAGAATTTTGAATTTGTATCTTAATCACTGAAAAATTTAAAGGATTCTATTATGAATCGAACATGCCTCTCTACAGTGGAAACAAGGAGGGTCACTTGAAATTAAGTCTCTAATTTTATTTATTCATAAATATTTTACAAAACCTAGAGTTTGTCAATATTAAGTTTTTACTTGGTTTCAGCCTCCTTGGCTTCCTGGCGCTCTATTTCTCTGAAGGTAATTGCTTCTTCATAATCCTTCTCAAGGATATCAATCTGAACCTTCTGCTTGTTACATTTCCTGTCCAGTAATCCAATCTGGCTAGAGTAACCGTTCTGCTCCTGGTTCCATTAGATTGTATTAAATCAATTTTAAATTTCTGAGGAAAGGAGAATATTTGTGTTTACCCTTTTTAGGAGATCTTTGATGAAATCATACTTTTTCCGAACCATGTCTCCTTCCATCATTTTCAGATTGGTTTTATGAATTTCATTCTCAAGAAACCTTAATCCAAAAAGTACAAATTATTTTTTAAATAGAAGCCATAGATTATAAGGTGAAACTAGAAAAGAAAGACATATTTGTATTACAACTCAAATTTTTATATTCTATTGGAGAAAGACCAATTTTTGACCATTTAGTCTTGTTTTCGTTCAGATTATGTTTCTAGAAACGGTTCGTTTGCTTATTTAAATCGCAAGAAAATTAAATATCTCTCATTTCTAAAATTCTGGTTGTTATTCGTCGACCAAATTCAATGGAAGTTTAATAAAAAATAAAACCGTCCCTGAAATTACATTCTCCAATTTTGAAAACGCTGTTCTTGTCGAATTTAGCGGGGATGATTCTATTTACTAAACAGTTTCAAGATGAATTTTACAAACCTAGCTTGTTGTTCCTCTCTTGAATATTCCTCAGGGGACTCTTCTCTCTTCTCAGCAATTTTATTTATCTCTGATCTCAGAGTCTCCAGGTACTCCTCCTAGTATTAATATATATATAGAGTCTCCAGGTACTCCTCCTAGTATTAATATATATATAGAATCTCCAGGTACTCCTTCTATTATTAATATATATATAGAGTCTACAAGTACTCCTCCTAGTATCTAAGATCTAAATATTTATTATTATTTATTCGAAGAGAGGCTCACATTAGCCTTATACAGCAGGACTCTCAAAACTTTTTACTGTTTTAACCACCTCAGAATAAGTAGCGTCCATGGGTCTCTCTCTCTTGGTTTAAGGGCCTCAGTGGCAATTTAGTTGTATTTTTGTCAAAAACTGGTGTCACTCTAGATCTTACTTCTCTGTAAAATGTTCCTAGAGCCTTTTTTTTCTCCTCATTCTTCTCTTCCAAGACTGGGACTGCGTCTGGGGTCCAGGGGTTTTGGAAAATGAGAAGTACTCATTTCCTCCTTTACTCCACAGGTTCAACTTAACCTCCAGTCCAGCTTTCACATGGTCCTGGTATACCCCCAGTTATATTCATTGTATGATAGTAGAAGACTGATGAAGATACCTGGTCCCGCCATTTGATTCAGTTCCTCCTATTATCAATATATATAGAGTCCAGTTACTCCTCCTATTATCAATATATATAGAGTCTCCAGGTACTCCTAATAGTAACAATATATATAGAGTCCAGGTTCTCCTCCTAGTATCAATATAAATAGTACTTTATACTTGTTAATTCTTTCTCACCTTCTTCTGAGTTTTATACTTGAGTTTATTCAACCTTTTCTTCAAATCTAGAACCTTGCTGTCTAGGGTCTTCTCTGCAGTATTAGGGCTTAACCTTAAATTAATAAATGTATGGAGGGGGATAAGTAATATTAAATTATGAAGTATGATTCAATGAAATTGTAAAGCCAAATCATTACAATTCTACAAAATTCGTGAACTACTGCAAACTATGACATGAAAAAAAATTAAGTCTTTGCCACAAACTCTAATTTGCTATAAATTCCTATATCTTTGGAATGTTGTAGACCTTAGATATTTAAAACTATGAATTCTGCTAGATCAAATAATCTAAGTTTAAAATATATATTCTCTAAACTATCAGAATAAGAAAATATATGGATTAAAAAATTAGAACTTGTGACAACGACAACATTCCTTTCACAGGATTTTGACAAATACCCAACACAGTGCGTTTTCCGAGTTTGTGCAGAGGAAAAAGGAGGGAAACAAATGTAAATTCTTTTTTAATCAAGTAACTTAAGACCTTTAGAGTACCAGTGTACTTACACTGTTGATTTGCACTGTAGTCTACAGGGTAATTGTGTACTGAGTACATAGAACAAAGCAATCGTCCTATAGCATAAAGTTCATGAATATATAAAATTAATTCATCACTGCTAGTCATTTTAAGAAATCTTGGAGTCAGAAGGGTTCGAATGTCGTCTTTGATTTTTGCACAAACCCTGAAAACGCAATGTGTCAAAGTGTATGACACATTCCTATAAATTGAAATGTACAAACCTCTCAAGAAGAATCTGATCTAGGAGTGGTTTTCTTCTGAAGGGTTTTAGTCGTTTGATTATACACTCCTTAGTAGTTCCACTTCTCATCAGTCTCTCGTGGAAATCCTGATTTCATATTTCAAGTTTTTAGATTTTATACATTTCTCAAAGCTTGGCCATATAAAGTACTGTCGCTGTAAGTTCTTAACAGAACCCTTAAATCACTTTAATGATTAATTATTTTCAAGATGTTGTTTTTCTACCTTAAAGGGAGTGACCGGCTATGTAAGGTAGTTGAACTGAGTATGCAGTGTTGTGGAAAACTTCTTTCGGATTCATTTGAGACATATTAAACTTTTTAAAGATCTGTAAATCCTGAGTTTGAGCGCAAATTCGACGTTCAAAACTCCTACTTTGGGGGTGGATACGTTTTCAGAATTAGTTTTTTTTTTAATTATTAAATATCGACGACATAAAATGTAAAAAAGTTCTACAATAAACTACAGACGTCATGTTTAGGAACATGTTGAGAAAATACAAATTAATCTTATCATCGAAAATAAGTAAACTTGTTCAATTATTAGTTTCTATTTTCTCATTATTCTGGTTTCTCATTATTCACAAAGATTTTCGCAGATTTTCTAGAATTATTATTGAAAAGACGACATTTGAAGAATTTGAAGAAATCTGCGAATAAATTCAAAGAAGATAAGAAATTACAATGAATAATAATGAAAACGAAATAATTGATTTTAGCATTGATTCATTGACAAATTTCTTTTGAGAAATATGTTCCTAACCATCTAATTAGAATACTGTATAATTTTTACTTTATTTTTCGTTTCGCTCAAAAGAATATCAAACATATATCTTATTCATTCTTTATAAGACCAAGCTTTGATGGGTACAGTTGTAAATCTGACATGCAACTCTATAGATAGAGGCTTCAACTTGAAATGACGTCTGCAGTACCTTTGAGTTTATTTGCATAAAAGTTATATGTTACTTGGACCTAACTTTCTTCTGTAAAAATGATTAAATAAAACTTATTATCAGCTAAATTGCTGCTGATTTTACATTTGGATTCGGACAGGATTTTAATCCAACTCTAAAATTGTTGAGATTTATAATTCACCTTTAGTTCTTCTTCTAGAATCTTTTCTTTATTTTTATTCTGTTTTTTCTCTTTCTCAAACTGATGATAGATTGCCTAGAATAAATAAAATTTAAGTTTAAAATATTGGATTTAAAATTTCATGCCCTGTTGTTAAAATCATTTTCCAAAACATATTTTTATAATTGAAAATTGTTTTATAATTTTTGAATTGACAAAAAATTAAATGAAAATGATTTTTGTTTTTAATTACTCTTCGTTTTCCCTCGACCAGTGATATTTTCTTCTTACACTCGCCAATTTTCCTGAAATATATAATTCTAGATTTTAATTATTTTGTACAATTTTTCACACAAAAATCCTGGCTTTAATAATATATGTGCTAATATCATCTTTACAATTCTAATTTAAGATTTCAGTAATTTGGATAACAAGAAGTTGAAAGTGTAAATCGCATTTGTCATTTCTTAGACCTCAATGAATCTGTTAATGTTTAGAATTTTTACCTTAATTTTGGATGAGTTTTAGGATCTTGACCCTCTGTCATTTTGTGAAAACTAGGGTGGATTGATGTTTAATTTTTGTCTTGAAGAAAATATGAATTTCCCCTGAACTGTTTTTGTCTAGCTTGGTTCCTGAAGTGAGGGGATATATATGTCTACTGCCTGAAATCATGCAGTAATATTGTTTGTGGCCTGAGTTTCTTGTTTTTCAACCTCCCCTTCAAAACAATTCTTCCCCTCTCACCCCTTTCTTCCATGTTATCCCTTAAACTTCATATCAATAATCCCCCTCTCTGCTTTTCTTATTTTCACAGTTTTAGTTAACTTGTTAACATTTATTATTTTTAACAGTAAAAATTTCGAAAACTAGTTTAGTTTACGTATATGCTGATGTATTCTATCCATTAACTAGCCTAGTTTAGGTATATGCATAGAGAATAGAATATATAGAGAGGAATTAAAAGAATCTCTCGGTATGAATTTTTTCAGTCCCTTACAGTCTGAAAGGGAGTTCAAAGTGTACAAATCATGTAAATGTTCACAAATTATATGCAGTAGAGTACATTAATACAGTATGTTCCCTAGACTATTCATTTCAATTTCGAAATTTTTAAAGCTGTTAAATAAACTTTATAATGGATTAGGTGAATAACAACATCATTTGATTTATAGTTATAACGGAAAATCATCGTTTGTAAAGTGGAAGGCATAGAGTCTATGTGAAATGATCATTGGTCAATTATGAAACCAGCCTATTTCATTATTTGCTTTTCTTTTAACAATAATTTTAGATTTTCTATAAAATGATATTCCAGGGCCCAACAGGTTATATAGCATAAATATGTGAAGTACACCTGAGCCCAAAACTTAAGACAGGGTATCGTTATGAAAACCAGTTTTGGAACCCGGGTTTCACAAATGGGTTTACCCAGTTTTGTAGATATCGATATTTTTGTTTTGAAATATTATTTTATTTAATCCTTTATATCTTACCATTTTTATCAAATCTCTTAAATCAAAATCTACACAAATAATAAGACCCCAAAAAGGAACTCGGAAGTTTCGTTCAACGATACTCTTTTAAATTTCAGGCTCTGCAGTATGGAAACAGTACAACAAAATGGCTGTTTTACACTTTTTTCTAGTAAATTCCTCTCTAATATATATTCTATTCTCTATGGGTATATGCTGATATATTCTATCCATTAACTAGTTTAGTTTAGGTATATGCTGATATATTCTATCCATTAACTAGTTTAATTTATGTACATGCTGATATATATTCTATCCATTAACTAGTTTAGTTTAGGTATACGCTGATATATTCTATCCATTAACTAGTTCAGTTTAGGTATATGCTGATATATTCTATCCATTAACTAGTTTAGTTTATGTATATGCTGATATATATTCTATCCATTAACTAGTTTAGTTTAGGTATATGTTGATGTCTCCTTCAATCCAGCAAATGAGATCCTATACATGGATGAAGAGACATCTACCTAAGGAGGTCGTTCTAGAGGTCCGTACACATATATTACAAACCCTGGAGGGCATTGATAATTAGATAAAGCTTCAAGGTGATTTGTTCTAGAGACACATTTAATGAATCACGTAGTTGAACCTGTTCTGCCCTGATTAAAGTTAAAGAAAAGTAGTTCAACTTTACACATACTGTTCAACTTCTTGCTTCCAATTCATTAAATCTTTCATTGACGGAACAAAATTTAAATTACCTATTGTTTCATTGGAAAACCATCCGAACTAATGATCAGTAACTACATAGCGAGAGAGAGAAGAAAAAGATTAACTCCCTTAATAAACGGATTTACATTTTGTAGTTTCAACAAAACAACTGCTCTATATTCTACCCCTAGATCTGTTTAGGATGTAACCTCGTTGTATACTGCTCTATATTCTACCCCAAGATCTGATTAGGATGTAACCACGTTGTATACTGCTCTATATTCCACCCCAAGATCTGTTTAGGATGTAACCTCGTTGTATACTGCTCGATATTCTACCCCTGGATCTGTTTAGGATGTAACCTCGTTGTATACTGCTCTATATTCTACCCCTAGATCTGTTTAGGATGTAACCTCGTTGTATACTGCTCTATGTGTGATGGGACCCTTCTCTCGAGCCCTGATGGCTCGTCTTACAACAACTAGTCTGGATTCTAGATCCTTCCCGTTCTTTACAGCTAGATATATGGACGTAGGTTAGACATTTAGTTTTCTTTATTCAAACCATCTTTTTCTTTATTCTTCTTCTATTTATAAATTTGGCTTGTTGGTTCGTCTCTTCGCATCCAATAAACGTTAATATATGGCTGAACCGTAGAACCCAAAATTTGGTGTGGTAAGTCACATGACCCCGATGTTCAATCGAAATTGAAAAATGTCAATTGAAAACTTGGAAATCAATTAATGTTTGTAGAAAAATCCGCGGAATCTTTAGTTTTGATGTACGCAGACCAAAATGGCAGCTTTTAAATCAGCAATTAAAAATTAAAGTTCTCACTGGTATTAGAAAAAAGAAACACGAAGCGCTATAATAAACTAATGAACTAGTATTTCAACGTGAGCCGCTGATATCCTTACAATGAATATATTTCAGCGTGTGCCCCTGATATCCTGACATTGAATATATTTCAGCGTGTGCCCCTGATATCCTTACAACGAATATATTTCAGCGTGTGCCCCCGATATCCTGACATTGAATATATTTCAGCGTGTGCACCTGATATCCTTACAATGAATATATTTCAGCGTGTGCCCCTGATATCCTGACATTGAATATATTTCAGCGTGTGCCCCTGATATCCTTACAACGAATATATTTCAGCGTGTGCCCCCGATATCCTGACATTGAATATATTTCAGCGTGTGCACCTGATATCCTTACAATGAATATATTTCAGCGTGTGCCCCTTATATCCTTACAATGAATATATTTCAGAGTGTGCCCCTGATATCCTGACATTGAATATATTTCAGCGTGTGCCCCTGATATCCTGACATTGAATATATTTCAGCGTGTGCCCGCACATGCTAAAATATATTTATTGTAAGGATATCATCCCTGATATCTTGACATTGAATATATTTCAGCATGGGCTCCTGATATCCTGACATTGAATATATTTCAGCGTGTGCCCCTGATATCCTTACAATGAATATGACGCATACTGGGGAGCTAGGATATGTGTTCTATATACCGAATGAGTTTGCTCTGCATGTGTTCAACGCTATAGTTGAAGCTGGTAAAGAGTTTGGTTTAAAGCACTGTGGATACTACGCTATGAGAGCAGTCAGGATTGAGAAGTTTTACGCTTTTTGGGGACAAGATCTTGACAGTCATACTACTCCTATGGAGTGTGCCAGAGCTTTCAGATGCAAGATGAAATCCGACATTCCATTCATAGGTAAACTATTCCATTCATAAGTGAACTATTCCATTCATGTGTAAACTATTCCATTCATAGGTAAACTATTCCATTCATAGGTAAACTATTTCATTCATAGGTAAACTATTCCATTCATAGGTAAACTATTCCATTCATAGATAAACTATTCCATTCATAAGTAAACTATTCAATTTAAATTTTACAACAGATCTATTTAAGAATTTACAATTTCAGTGAACATTTTGTTATTAGGTAGAGAAGCACTCCAGAACCAGCTTGATACTGGGATAAAGAAGATGTTTGTTATGCTGATCCTGGATCATATTGATCATAATTCAGACCTAGATCCTTGGCCCTGGGGCGGAGAACCTATATATAGGTAACAAATAGGGAGCAGGAGCAAAAACTAAAATTGTGTTGCTAAAAAAAGAGGCAACATTTCAGATAATTCCAGGGGGGGGGAGAGAAATGAGTTAGTAGGTGGAGACTGATTAGGGATTAGGTTTAGAATGGTAGGGCGGAAAAATAAGGGATTATCGGAAGAATTGTATAAAAAGAGGGTTGAGTAGGGAAGGCATGGAATTTATATAAATTCATAAGTTTTTGATGCTTTTGGGGCAAAAAAAAAAGGGAGAGTGGGGGGAGGTAAGGAGGATTTGAATTGAAGAAAGAAGGGAAGAATGGAGTGTGTGGCATTAAGTATTGGAGGAAAATTGAATAAACATTTCAAGAAGAAAGAAGGGTCGTTTTGGGAAAAAGGAGAAATGAAATGAGAAGGAAAGGAGGATTAGGATCCGGGGGGAACTGAGAAGGGAAGAGGGGTTTGATTAATGAAAAAGAATATGGGAAGAATGGAGGTAGGTTTAGGATTAAGAAATAGGGGTTGGGGATATTAATGAAAAAGAATATGGGAAGAATGGAGGTAGATTTAGGATTAAGAAGAAAGGGGGGGGATATTAATGAAAAAGAATATGGGAAGAATGGAGGTAGGGTTAGGATTAAGAAGAAGGTGGGGGGATATTAATGGAACACAAAAATAAGGGAAGAATGGAGGGTGGTGTATGATTAAGAAGGGGTGGGGGATATTAATGAAAACGAAAATGAGAAGAATGGAGGTAGGTTTAGGATTAAGAAGAAGGGGGGGGATATTAATGAAAAAGAATATGGGAAGAATGGAGGTAGGTTTAGGATTAAGAAGGGGTGGGGAATATTAGTGAAAAAGAATAAGGGAAGAATGGAGGTTGTTGTATGTTTAAGAAGGAGGAGGGGGTATTTATGGCACACAATATAAGGGAAGAATGGAGGTTGCTATGGAGGTTGCTGTATGATTACGAAGGGGGAAAGAATGGAGGTTGTGGGGTTTATTGTATTATTCTTATAAAACTGGTGTGAAGGAGGGATAAAGTGTTAATGTGAAAACTATTTATCTATTAAATATTGTCAGGAAAGAGGGGTGAAATATTGAACACTAGTTGTTTTTCTATGAAGTCTATTTAATGGTTACATACTACATAGTTTCTTGAACTTTACCTGTTTTTTCTTTCTTTTTAAGTTGATAAATAAACGAATTTTTCGTCATCAGAACGCAATGAACTATTTTTATTTAATAATTTTCCGAATTTACTGAAGAATAGAAAGAATTTTTGCCAACCCCTCTCACTGATACACAGAACTATTCTGGTTAATTTTGTAATTAAGGAACGGAAAGTATTGTGGAACTGTAACAACAACCTCCTACGGGTTCTCTCTAGCTCGTCAGATTTGTCTAGGGTTTATTCAAGACCTAGATCAGGACGGAAACCCACAGGTGAATACCAAAATCATTTTTATATCTCTTTTATGTCCGACTGATTTTTTATATTTAACGATAATTTAAGGTACAACCAACGGTATTTAGTATTTTTTTTCTTGTATCCTTTACAGTTCCTCAACGCTAAAATTCAATGAAAAAAATTGCCAAATTATTGTGTGATGTGGAAGGCTGGAAAAATTTGTAATGGACACCTCTGCCTGAAAACATTGTTTTTTTTTAAGACACAATCTACTGACGAAGTTTATTTTTTTTAATATTTTTGATTTTAACCAAAACCGAATAGAACATGAGCTAAACGCTTACCGCAAACTCGATTTTTAAATCCCTATATCTTTGCAGCCTGACATTTCAAATTTTGACTTATCTTAGGTCTACAACATCAGTTTGAAATCGGAATTTGAATATTAAAATTGTAGCAATTGTTAAGCTTCTTTTTGTTTGTCATAAGATTTATCGATAATAACTAGTTTTTGATTAAGTACATTGGACCTGAATTCATCAAGAATGCTGAGTTTGAGGTTGATATATGCGGTGTCAACTATCCAGCTCAGTGTAGGCTTAATCCTCCAGTTCTACCTAAGAAGGTACATTTCATAAATAGATGGACAGAAATAAAGATGAACGGAAAACAGATGGACAGATGGACAGTTGAACAGACGGACAGATAAATATATGAACATAGAGACAGATAGACAGGCAGTTTGATGAATAGATTCACAGACAGATGGATAGATGGACAGACAGATGAAAAGATTTAAGATTGTCCGTCAGACAGTTAACTAGGTAAACAGATTGTTAAGCAGTCAGATGGATATATGAACACTGAATGGACAGGATAGATGGACTGTTAAATGAATAGGTAAACAGACAGACAGGCAGACAGATAAATAAATGGACATGAAGATGGCACAATTTTGAAAAACCAGTCGTAGAATAAATGGACTTCCTTAAATGAAATTTATTTTATAATCAAAATTTTTACTCTCTCAATTTATGACCATAGAGCATTCTCGAACTTTTCTTTGGAACACTGTTTTTTTTGTTTTTTTTTTATAGTTTTCACCTTTCATTTGTTTCAGGTTACTCTGGAAGGTCCGATGCCCGCAAACTTCGGACATCGCTAGTTCACAACATTTTTATCATACAGTCAGATACTGATACATTGTACATACAGTGTTCATAGTACGGTGTTAACATATATGTATCTTTAATTAGTCATTCTTCCTTAATTTCCAAACCTTAGTTAATATTTATTTCCTCTGTTAACTTTTATTTTATTTGCAACAAAATTCCTAATAAACATAGAAAACATTAAATATTTTATTCTTGTTCAGTTCTTTATCCTGAGCTGAAAACTTTAGAATGGGATATCCTTAATCCCGATCGGTTAATTAATCTGGAGATTAATAACATGAGGAGAACAAGCATTATTTAATCTCGAGACTAAGGAAAGGAGTAGATCAAGCATAAATCCCGATATCCACCATTTAAAAGTTCCCAGCTCAGATTTCTTTGAACATCTAATTGTTTAGTCCTAACAGTTGATAATTTAAATAAATAATAAAGTTTCTGAAGAATAAAGAATAAGTAAGATGTCTACCCAGTATTCTAATATTGCGTGAAATGTTATAACTGAAGGAAACAATGTTTTAGTTTCTAATTCCTAGAAGCAAACATTTTGTCGAGAGTAAATACAACTGTAACCTTTTGATTTTTTAAAGTTATAAATTCAACATATTTAGCAATAGAGAATTCGCAAATCGTATTTTTCCCCAGAACTAAGAGATAAGTTGCTGTAATATAGGTAATATTATTTTAAGTTTGTGGCAAGCAATCAATTTGCAGTACACATTGTTGATACTATAGTACCCATTTGGTGTTGTAACGCAAGAAAAAGTGATGATAAATCAGCTGCACTCCAAAGGATAAAATGCCTTGAGTACGACAGAGATGGTGCTGCTTTCAATTTTTCACAAGACCTCAAAATTATACGACTTTCTCTTATCCATATTATATCATCCTTGATGTAGACACGTAATTTCAAGTGCCCCTGCAAAGTGGCATTAAAAGACATATCCGATTTACATTGATACATTTAAAATAAGATCCTTTTTGTTTTGTGGTTTCGCTGTGACGTGTGGCCGGAGCACTTGTGGATTTCTGATAAAGAAAAAGGAATTAAAGAATTTTCAAGCTAGAAATCGGCAACATGACATTTTCCAGATAATTGATCAGAGCTGAAAACTTTAGAATGGTGGATTGAGATTAATGCTTAATCCGCTCTTTTTCTTAATTTCGAGACTAACCTAATCTTGTACTTGTATCCTGAAAAGTGTAAAAAATTCAACCAATCAGAGTCGCATATATATGAAGCCAATAAAATTGAAATTTAGCGCGCCATTTAAGATAATATACAGAAACGGGAGGGACTCTCTAATTTAGAAAAACCGGTTTTTGATTTTTCTCTACTATATCCAAGAAAGATTTTTTTAAGAATAAAATCAAAAGTGTGTCCATTGGATACTCAGATTAAGTAATCGGGATTAAGGATATCTCATTCTAAAGTTTTCAGCTAAGATTAATGTTCAAAGGGTACTGTTGTGAATTGGACATGACTTTTGTAAAAAGGGCCCTTGAAAAAATGTAACGTTGTTGTTATTTAAGGTTTTCCAATAAGCATGGTAGAAGAGTGACCATTTCTGAATCGTCATAGTTAAACTTTGGCAGAAAGTTCTACGGATGCATCAGTATCACCTACATATTATAAGAAATAATTCTAAAATGATCTATTTTATTTTTATAATCTGAATGTTTCCATGGATGCATTTAGACTAATTCAAAAATAATTTTTCATTTAAATGTATCAATTTTCTTTCTTTATTTTACTTGAAAAATTCAAAATTTGATATTTTATGTATATTTTTTTCCAATATTCACACATCGTGATTATTTAAATATTTATACCTCGACATTTTGAAGAATAATTAATTATTTTTATTAAATACTAAAATATATTTCTTTAATCATGAAAAAGTTAATATTTAGAATTTTTTCGTGTCTGATGATATATTTAAATATTCTCCATGAAAAGGTCAACATTTGATATTTGTGTCTATATGCCTGTGTGTGAGGTAGGAGGGAACGGCAGCCATGAGCCTCCCAGATATGCTATGCTGCACCGAGCCTCCGCTATGCCATGCAGAACAACCTTTAAACTAAAACTTCGATTTGATTTGTTAAGATCTTTGATTTAAGCGATACTTTTTTTAGAAAAATTGTTTATGTTTAGATCTTTCTTGTAATGGAAAATTAAATTTAAAGAATTATCAAAATTTTGACAAAAAATCAAGAAAAAAGGTAATTCTTAAATTAAAGATAAAATCAAATCAAATTCATTTTAAATTTTAAATATGTTCCATTTTGCGTAAAAAACTTTTAACTTTTAGAATAAAATTTGTACTGTTTAGCAGAGGCTCAGTGCTGCCTAGGAAATCTGGGAGGCTCATGGCGGCCGTGGGTTCCCTCCCTACTGTGAGAGAGTATAAAATAAATGACCAACCGTAAGACTGTCTCACATGAGATGAAGAAAATGTATAAACCACATGAGGTGTTCATTTTATTCTCTCATTCAAAGAAAGCAATATAAAATGGTTTTCCAAAAATCTTTTTTAAAAACGGCTAGCTGTTCAAGGGAAGGTTTATTTAAAAGGGGAATGGGCACATTTCCTCTCAAATGACACAAATTTTCAAGGGAGATTTGCGCCTTCATTTTTCAAGCTAATTTCTTGAGATTGTGCATAATAGTCAGATTAGTGATTAACTCTAAGAATGTATTTACAAAATGTACACAATAAAAAAAATAAAACATTTTTACCGCATTTTTCCGTTCTTTTGAAAAAATATAGGTTTTTGGTACAAATTGGGTCTTAATTATGTTGGGTAATATCCTTCCACATTTTTTTGATGAATTGTTTTTTTCCTTCTTTTTCTTCCTGCCATTTTTCCTTGTAAATTGAATTTGAGTTATCATCTTCATTTTTAAAGTTTTTCTGTTCAAACTTTGGATTCAGATCAAAATTGTGATTAACTTTCTAGACTGAAAATAAAAATGCACAAAAAATTTTTTTTTCCTGATATATTTTTTTTCATTTATTTCTTTGATAAACACTTTTTGCGCATAAAAAATCAATAAATTGGTTGCTAAATGGATAACATGTGCTTTAATTGGGCTGACAGGGGATTTTATATAATAAAATAAAAATGAAATCTCCGACCATAATTGAGTGACATTAGACACCCCACAATCCACTTGTAACAAAGGCAAAAAATTGAGAATAAAAACTACAAGAATCCGTCACAAATAGAAGTTTCAGATTTTTATGGTTTTCAATAACTTATTCCAGACCTAAATCAATATTCCATTTTCCCTGCAAAATCTAAGATTAAGGTTATCATGAAAAATAAGATTATACCCCCTTTTTTACTGATTTGTCTGTGATGATGGCAGGGAAAAAACATTTCATTTGGCGCATTTTTTTTACAGCAAAACAATTTTTGTCCTGATTTCTAATATCTAACTCATCTAACCGGATGAATTTCTAATATCTAACTTATCTAACCGGATGAATTTCTAATATCTAACTAATCTAACCGGATGAATTTCTAATATCTAACTCATCTAACCGGATTTCTAATATCTAACTCATGAATTTTGCATTCTCGTACTTGTGTGTAAAATCAAAACTAAGAGAGCTTCAAGGTCACCAAGTCCCTTTCCCTGGCATCTTGATTTGATTTGAGGTTGTTACGTGTATTTTTACAAACAATTTCATTCGAGCATTTAAACAAGTATGCAATTAAAACAAAGATTATATAATAAACATATCTGCTCTTTATCTGATATATCTTTCATAAATTGTTCCTTATTTCTACATTTTGGAACAACTTCAATCATTATTTTTTGGCAGCACTCTTCAGAAATGTCAAATTTTCATCTAACAAAATTTGCTGGAGCACCGAATCCAAATTCCTTCAAATTTCTTAGAATTATAAATTTTCTTCAACAAAATTTAAAAAATATTGCTACTAAGTTGAATTTGGCTTTGGCTAAGTTGAATTTTGTGAGATGGAAATTTGACATTTGAGTGCAGACATATATTCTGATGATGACCCTTTCTTATAATCTTATTAATTTTCGATTGTAATTTAAACTATATTTCAGGTTTCAGTGATAAGTTCTGCCTGGAGTCCGGATATTCCTGAAAAGCAGGGGAAGGTCAAACTGTTTTCACTGATTTCTTTACATTACATTACTGTGAGACCCAGAAAATTATGGAATAGAAAGACGACTTTTAGACTCAAGTCATGGCTTTGAATAGTACATTGAACATGGGACACAGCAATTGTGGAGTGTAAACAGATTCTTTTAACTTAATAAGTGATTTAATAAGTTACTTACAAATATTTGCGTTGTAACAACATCCAAAACATTTAATATACAGATTTCTATAATGCCTATTTCCTATTTCACAGTTTTCTTGTTCTCACTGTTTTCCAGATAGATTTTGCTGGTAAACATGTTTATCAAACTCATAATATCAACTCTGTTAAATGCAATTTTATACGAGGTTTGTTGAAGGTAGATACTATATTGCATGCTCAGATTAAAACCTTATAGTCTACAGGAATTTGTGCTAAAAAGAATTGAGTGTTGAAACTGTAGAAATTAATCTAAAACTTTTTCAGAAAAATTTAAATTAAAAAAACCAGAGAATTGACAAAACTGTTCTGTATCACAGTATAACTCTTGTTTGTAAGCTTTGTAGTAACCAAAATTAAAATAGAAAGTAGTCCGTATTGTATTGATATATACGACGACGAAATTAGTCTTAGTAATTATTTATTAATTAGTAATTAGTAATTATTTAGATGTTCTTTTTGTTTAGTTGAAGAGTGCTGTGAATGTATTGGAACAAGCAACAGATTTGAACGCGATCAATCCTCCCCAAAATGTTTCAGTTAAAGCAAAGGTTGAAAAAGAGATATTCATGGCAACCTTAACTATTCTGTCTGAACTAGGACCAAATTTAATCAATTTGTATTAAATTCTGAACTGCCTAATACCTGTTAAAATCTTGAATCATCGATTTAAAGTTAAAGATTCATAAAGATTTTAATAGGGGATTCTGGATTTTAACCGACGGTAATTAGTTCAGCGACTTTTCCAATTCATTAAATTCGGACTCAGATATCATAACTTTTATGTAGTTGATTCAGGGATAAAACAGTTCTCTGTATCTCTTGTCGTCCAGAGGAATGAATTTATTTCTCTTGCATATAGGTCGGCAGCAGCAGGGTTAACTAATTTTTAGGAATTTTACACTGAAAGGAATTGAGTCTTTGCCACAGACTCAAATTTTCTAATCCATATATTTTTGAAATTTCAAACTTAGTATTTTTGATCTAACATAATTCATAGTTTGACATAATTAAAGTTTACGGCACTGGGTTGCAAAGGTAACAGGGGTTAGAAGATCAAAGTTTGTGGCAAAGACTTAATTTCTTTCATGAGTCGTGACAGCTGATATTGATATCAAGCCGTAACTTGTAGATTAGCGCCATCTTACACAAAAGTTTTGATCTCTGATTGCTGTTGAAAACCATGAACCATTTTTAAAATTTGAATTCTTCCTGAGCAATATTTATTTTCTCCCCTGATAATGTTTAGGTTCTCCGTATTCTTGTCAGACTCCTCGGATTAGCTGGAATGATTGGACTTTTTCTCTGGCAAGCAAGTGTTAGTGTAGAGAAATATCAGTCAAAACTAACCTCTCTCCAGGTAGGGATAAGCTAACATCTCTCCAGGTAGGGTTAAGCTAACATCTCTCCAGGTAGAGTTAAGCTAACATCTCTCCAGGTAGTGTTAAGCTAACATCTCTCCAGGTAGGGTTAAGCTAACATCTCTCCAGGAAGGGTAAAGCTAACCACTTGTCAGGTAGGGTTAAGCTGAGCTCTCTCCGGGTAGGGTTAAGATAACATCTCTCCAGGTATGGTTAAGCTAACCACTTGTGAGGTAAGGTTTAGCTAATCTCTCTCCAGGTAAGGATAAGCTAACTTCTCTCCGGGTAAGGTTTAGCTAACCTCTCTCCAGGTAGGGATAAGCTAACTTCTCTCCGGGTAAGGTTTAGCTAACCTCTCTCCAGGTAGGGATAAGCTAACTCCTCTCCGCGTAAAGTTTAGCTATCCTCTCTCCAGTTACTATTAAGCAATTATCTCTCCAGATAGAGATAAGCTAACATCTCTCCAAGTAGTGATAAGCAAACATCTCCCCCCGAAGGGTTAAGCTAACCTCTCTTCAGATAAATATAAGCTAACTTCTCTCCAGGTCGGGATAAGCTAAAGTTTCTCTCCAGGTAGGGTTAAGCTAACCTCTCTCCAAGTAGAAGAAAGCTAACATTTCTCCGGGTAGGGTTTAGCTAACATCTCTCCAGGTAGGGTTAAGCTAACCTTTCTCAAGGTAGGGATATCTAACCTTTCTTCAGGTAAAGTTAATGTTGGATAAAACCTGTTCCCAGTTGCTGGTAAACATATTTCTCCCCAGTTAAGATTAATCTATTTTTTGTTTAAAGCACGTTTAAGCTGAACTTACAGAAATGTGTAAATTAATTAAAAATAATAAAACATAACATTCTGTATTTGTCCTGACAAAGATGAATATCCCAGGAAAGATTGTCTGATAATGGTAAGCTGATGTATCCAAGTATAACCTTCTGTACCAAGTACATCTGGCAGGACTTCCCTGGGGTTATGGAGATAATCAATAATAATAAATCCATTAATTATCAGGTCAGATTATTCAAGGGAGAAGAGGGAAAAGAAAATGAACATTTGAGAGATAAATCGAAATCATAATTAACTGTGTATAAATTAAGTATAAATCCTTGTTCGACATCATTTGACGACTTATTTTGTCTAAAATATGTTTCGGGAGAAAATATCAATTCGAAGGACGACATATTATGTTTTTTTGCTAAAACTCTTAAAGGGAGTGATCGGCAATGTATGGTGGTTGAACTGAGAATGTAGTATTGTGGAGAAATTCTTTAATGATTCTTTTCAGACATTTAAAACGTTTTAATGATTTATAATTCTACAGTAAACCGATGAGATGTTTAGGAACAGGTTGAGGAAATAAAAATTTACTCTTATTTTCGAAAATAAATAATCTTATTCAGTTATTTATTTCTCTACTGTCTCATTGTTCACAAACGTTTGCTGTGGATTTTTATTGAAAAGACGATATTGAAAGAATTTAAAGATATCTGTGAACGAATTCTTAAAGAATAAGAAATTCAGTATGATGATGAAAAAGAAATTATTGATTCTAACATTGATTTTTTGACAAATTTCTATTGAGAAATATGTACCTAAACATTTCATTAGTTTATTGTCTATTTTTAAAACATTTTTTGTCGTCGTTATTTAATAATTTAAAAAAACCTCTAAACGCAGTAAAAAAAAAGATTATCAAAACGTAACAACCAAAATGGAGGATTTTTACGTAGACTTTACGCTCAAACTAAGTAATTATACATCATTAAAACGTTGTATTTATCAAAAATACCATTTAATTATTTATAATTTTGAAACTAATTCGGTTATACAATGTACAGTGATAACCAGAAAACTCTTGAAAAGAAAGACGACTAGAATACTAAACTTATGACTTTTAATAGTCCAATAAACACGGGACACAGCAATAGTGCAGCGCAAACAGACCCATTTCACGTAGCATGTTGATTTTCAAGCTACTCATAAAACTATTTGCTCTGTAACCACATCAAATACACTTAATTATTACTTAAATGTCGTCTTCCTATTCCAGAGTTTTCTGGTTCTCATTGTATATTTATATCTTGTTGAAGGCAGTGAAGAACTACGCTATAAAGAGCCACTGGTCTAGAGACAAAGTGTTTAGCTTCTTTAGTCACAATAACGTTGATAATATGACATATCCTTGTAATACAGGTAAATGCTAATTCGTGTACATCCGAGCTATAGAGGAAACTGACCTCAGTATTTTCTGAACAAAGATTTTTCTCGTCATAAAATGATTGGTTGGGGGTTACTGGTTAAATGTAGTTATAATGGAGTGTCGATTTAAATCCGTGAAATCCGTGACAAGTATATGGGGGATTATGCTCCATCACCTAGAAAACTGGAATACAACGTTTTTTAATAGGATTGCATGGAATAAATCCTACTAAAGTATGATGGCATAATTATACACTTTGGTAACCTGACTTTATCTCATTCATTCAAGTTTTTCGTAGTTTTACAAATAAACTTGTGGGAACGTTTAAAATTTTTTCGGACAAAAATGCTGACATATGAAATCGCGGCCAGATTTTAACGTTTTTGTAGAACATTGTAAATAAGATTTCGGTTCCCTGTATTTTTAGCTATATTGATATTAGCTAATAGCTATATCCTAAGAAACCGAAACCGAAATAAAATTTTAAAATTAATGCTCAGACCATTTAAATATAAAATATTAATTATTTAAGTTGGGGGATCTATGACTGGACGACCATGTTCTTTTCCTTTTATTTATCAGGTACGGAAAAGTACGGAAAAGTACGGAAAAGTACGGAAAAGTACGGAAAAGTACGCACAAGTACGGAAAAGTTTGGAAAATTTTTTTGATTTATAATGTTTTTAGAAAATTGGTTACTAAGATCTGTATTTACTCTTATGAACTAGAAAGAAATGAGTCTTATGGACTAGAATTGAGTCTTTGACACAAAACTCAGATTGTCTTATCTTTGCAACCTGGTGTCTTAGATCTTTGAATTAAGATAGATCCGGATAAAGATATAGATATACTTATTAAAAGAAGATATATGCAAAGATATAGGGATTAGAAATTTTAGTTTGTGGCAAAGACTCGATTCCTTTCATCGACTTTTTGGAACGATTACTGACTTGTACAAGCGCATCCATGCAGAGTATTTAACCGATCAAACCTTACTAACTATACAACCAGTTTTCAACAACAATTAAAATTATCTTTTCTATATATAAATATATTTATGTGTGAAGAGTATTGTGGACCAAAGCTGGGAGAATGAGTCGATGAGCTCAGAAGCGAATACAACAGAAACAACGGTATAAACTGTAAACATGCTTTGTACTTCATCATCTATATACAGGGTGTCTCACCAGACAGACATGACAGAAATCTACTTTTACATGTATAATTCTTGAAAATGTTAATTCTAGAATGATACTTCTTAAACCAGGTTTACGATTAAATGCAGCAAATTTTTCAAAGATGACTTCCAAGTCGCCTGGCTACTGTCATGTTTCTTGGGAAACCCTCTATGTTGTTCATCAAATAAAAAATTGTACTTTTTATTTACTATTTCTACTTTGTTTCCAGTTTTTTTTTATAGCCGCGCATTTTTACGCTTGATTCACTCCTAAAGGAGATATTCATTAGCCATCTGAGGATGATGTGGGTTACAACGAAATATATTATGGCGAAAATGACAGTTGTTTAAAACCTAAAGTGATAAGTTGGGTAGGAGAGAGTACAATCATGAAATCAATGATCCAGATATATTAAGACTAAAAAACTAAATAAGAATGAAGTACGCTTTTCAACTGTTCCAACATGATATCATCATTTCAACCTGTCTTTTGTCTAGAGTAAGACTACATTCTTGTATTTTGATGAATGTACTCCGCTGGACGATGTAACTCCCTGGTGCTATACTAGAACAGATAAGAATAAAACATTTATACTTGGTAGGTTCAGCTCAAGGTTCTTTAATAACTTAGTAGTTATGTAATGTGTAAACCTGGTGACGGTAATTTTAGCTTGGTATTTTCAAGCAGGTTGTTTTTAGTATTTTCCCTCAAGGGAGTGTTCGCGAAAAATTAAAAGGGGGTATAGGCTTACGGCAAAAAATAATCGCTTTTGATCACTACTAATTATACTTCTATCTGTTGCGTCTATAAGTTAGGTGTTTAGAGTAAAGGAACTGAATATTCACTACAAACCCTTATTTTCTAATCCCTTTATCTGATAGTTCAAAATGAGACTGTTTGATCCAATCGTCAATTAAAATTTATTCCATCGTGTCCGTCCAGCGACGCGCTTTTTAGGTCCAACCGTTAACCTTGACTACAGTATTTTCCTTTCTCATCACGACTAAATTACTTTAATTTTTTTCAAACACCACTTTATTGTTTCAAATCTGACACCAAATTACTGTCCTTTAATTATCTGGTCGAGGGTTGAGTTCTCCGACATTTTAAAATTAAGTCGGGATTTTATACTTTTACTGGGTTGGGATCCCAACTTTACTTAGAAATTGAAAGTCAACCCACTCAACTTAAAAAATTAAAACCAAGTACAGAACATTCCTGTTCTCTGTTCAAAGTTTGAGACAAATCGGCCAAAGGGTGCATGAGTTTAGATCCGATTTACTAAAGAATAGACATACTGCAGACACTACTACTACAGACATATAGATCCGATTTAAAAAAGAAAAGACATACTGCAGAGTGCAGACACTGTTACTTTATACATATTACTCCGACTTAAAAAAGAATAGACATACTGCAGACACTATTACTTTATACATATTGCTCCGACTTAAAAAAAACTAAGAAATTACTACTTTAAACATATACGGTGGTAGGCCATTGCATCAATATAATGAACACAACTTTTTATGTAAGTTTTTTAATTGACAGCTTCTCATAGTTTCCATGTTCTTCTGTATCCATGCTGTTTTTTAAATGCTTTCTATAAATAAAAAGTTGAATCGAAAGTCGTCTTCATTATAATGTTATAATCGCCTACCACCGTATAAACGCTATGCTTGGGACATAATAATCTAGAACTTTTTTTGTTAATCTTAAGTTTGTATCCCAGAAAGTTTCTAAACTTCAAACAATCAGAGTGGTGTATGCAGAAGCTGAAAATAAAAAAATTTGTGCGTCATTTAATGAGAAAATCTCATTTGTCGAATTCCACTAATACTAGTAATAAACAATAAAAATGAGGGAAACGAGCGGATTAAGCAGAACTCAAAAGTGTCCACAGTAGTTATTAAGATTAAACAATCGATATTTAGGGTATCCAATTCTAAGGTTTTCAGCTCAGGGACATTAATACTTAATTGATATTTAGGTCCGTCTACAAAGGTTTTATTTTAGGTGATTTCTCTTATTTGTGTTTTCTTTTCAAGTCTTTCTTCTTCTCTCATTTCAGGACAATGGGGATACTGTTCTCCTGACTGTACTGGACAGCTTCCTAGATTTGATAGTGCATACAATATAGCTAATAATCCACAATACTGGGAGGTGGGTACAGTACAATATAGCTAATACTCCACAGTACTGGGAGGTGGGTACAATATAGCTAATAATACACAGTACTGGGAGGTGGGTACACTATAGCTATATATCCACAGTACAATCATATTGTCCAGGTTGGATTGTTTGATCTCTCAACCTGGGGAAGTGGGCTCTGCCATACCTACAACCCACCTGGAGAAGTTGAACCTGGTGTTACCGGCCAGCTATATGCACTTCTAGGTGACCAAAAACTAAATCTTACCCTGGTGTTTATTTATAATTACCGGGAATTGTTCACTTCTGAATTTGATATTGGGTATATAGTATACAATATCCATGGATTAGAAATAGCTAATATTTGCCAGTGTATCCTGAACATATAGTACTCATGAGGACATTATAGAAATGTCGAAATATATTTACTGAAAAACGCGAAAAACGAAAAGGGGGTTAGACTGAATCCAAATAGTTGTGATAATGCAACTTAATGAACTTATATGGGCTCTATTCCCTTTGGGCAATAATTGAGTTTTTAACCATTTTCTTCTTATCGACGCAACAGCAGGTCGAAAGAAGTTTTAGTAGCCATCGAATTCTATTTAACCTAACATCCCTGTCATTTTCGCGAACACTCCCTTTAAATAAATATAAAGACAAAAGATTATATCTAGGGGAACAGGATAAGATATTTGCTCCGATGAGGTTCCTAGGATATAATATTTTTATTCATGATAAAGGTAAATAATTTTATTTTAGGAAGAAAACAACTCCTGACGGATAAACTGTTAATCTAAGAGATAAAACACCTAATCTGTCCAGAGCTGAAAACTTTAGAATGGTGGATATCGAGATTAATGCGTGATCCTCTCTTTTTCTTAATCTTGAGATTAAATATTGCTTGTTCTCCTCTCATTTTTAATCTCCAGATTAATTATCCGATCAAGATTAAGGATATCCCATTCAAAAGTTTTCAGCTCTGAGCTGAAAACTTTAGAATGGTGGATATCGAGATTTTTGCGTGATCCTCTCTTTTTCATGATATCGAGACTAATCTAATCTTGTACTTGTATCCTGAAAAGTGTATAAAATTCAACCAATCGCGTATACGAAGCCGATCAATTTGAAATTTTGTGTGCCATTTAAGATTATATACAGAAATGGGAAGAACTCTCTCATTAAGAAAATCCGGTTTTTGATTTTTCTCTACTATATCCAAGAAAGAACAGTTTAAGAAGAAAATCAAAAAGTGTGTCCATCGGATACTCAGATTAAGTAATCGGGATTAAGGATATCTCATTCTAAAGTTTTCAGCTCTGGATATTTTATTTGATGATTGTATTTGATGCATGATGTCCTAAAGCAGACAGTTAATTATACCATCAACTTAAAATCAACTTATTAAGTAAAATGTTTCTTTAGACAAATACACTGCATGGTACATTGCTGTTTTCACTTATAAACATAATATGTGACACTCTTGTATAACTAATATACAAATGAGATAATATTCCATATGAATGTTCAGGTCAATTTTTCCCTGGACTTGAGATGGGACGGATTGGTCTCAGTGATGAACTCTTTCTACCCAAAGATATTGAATGGGAGGGAACATTCCAGATGAAACAAAAAACTTTGATCAACAAGAAAGAAAATCCTTGCTCTGAGGTCTGAAAAACCAGTGATACCCATGAAACTATGGAAAAGGAAGACGACTGTTAAACTCAAGTTATCAAATTAATATGAAACACAGCAATTGTGCAGTGTATTCACTGCCATTTGACTTAATAAGTTGGGTTTCCATAACGGGATTGCTCATCATGAGATTGCTTAAATACAGTTTTCCTATTCTACAGTTTTCTGGGTCTCACTGCATACTTGTCAGTATATTCAGATAGATAGTTTACGATAGATTTATAACAAAGCAGGCTTCAGGATGGTAGAGGGCAAAACTTTTGAAGATGTTGACTATATAGAAATTAGATTTAGAGACTGAAATCGATAATAAACTGCAATAACTATTAAATCGAGATTTAATTTGCTTATTCGAGGATAAAAACCATTAGATGCATGAAGTATACAACGTTCAAGGTTGAGTCATGGAGTGGGAAAGGGATCGGAAGAGTTACAAAACTTTTGCTCACATGTTTGAAAGTAATTGATTCTTTGCAAAATTAGTTTGTAAAAAGCTTTCACTCAAGAAAATCTGATTTTAAAATTTTTGTTTAGTTTTTGTTGTGATTATAAAATGCTTTGAGAGGTATTAAGAGGGGAGAAAAGCAAACACTAAGGCTAGGACTATTGTATCCATTATTATTATAAGGACCCTGAGTATAGTTTCCGAGACTGTGTGATGAGATGGGTGAGTAAGAATACAGGTTGCCACCTGGACTGGTTTAGTAATCTACAAGGAGAGAAAGTATGCTCAAAAAGGTAAAAAGAAAATCAAACAGTCTGATTCTGTCTGGGTCAGGTTACTTAGGTATAAAGCAATTCACTGTGGATCACGTTCCACTTCAGTGGGGAAGAAGAGGTTGTTGTGTCCGCCCAGCAAGATCTGGCCGGTGTGGTGCGAGGTTAAGGTCCCTGTGAATGACCTCCACTTGGGGGGACTGAGAAGGAGAACCATGAGCCGTTGCTGAGGTCTTCCTCTATGGCCGAAAGTTTTATAACCTTCCCATGCAACTTTAACTTCTTCGGCAGCTTGTTCACGTACTGTGCAAGGAACAAGAATGTAGTTGGAGGTTGGACATTATCTGCGTTCAGTTCTTGGAATTGAGTGAATTGGTTGTTAAATGACAACCTTACTTCCAGAGGGAGGCTTCTCATGATGTTCTGGACCAGTGACTGGGTGAGGGCGTCACTGTGGAGGTTCTCCAGTTTGTGGAATTGTTGCATGACCTTCAGGTTGGCCTGAAGTGTCTTGAACAACTTCTGAAGAGGACTTCTTGGACAGATTCATCGCGTGGAAGGAGGTCGAAAAGCTGGTTGACCTCTCTGCCAAATTGTCAATACTTCCAAATTCTTCAATTAATGTGACCTTGAAGGAGTCCCAGTTGATGATTTGGTCAAGGGATGGCATGGAGGGTGAGGTACAGTTCGCCAGGGTCATCGCAACTGGTCAAGGCAAATCCGTTTAGGACGGAGGATAGCCAGGGGTAGAAGTCGGTATGGCTGACCAGTCCAGGTTGCAGTGGAGATCCTGGGGGCCTTGAAGGTGACAGTGGTTTGTTGGACGTTCATTGCAGTCAAATAGGTGGTTTTAATGTTAGAGAGGTCATACAGATTGTATTGTTCGGCAAACGCGGTCAGTTTATGAATGTTGTTCTTTTGAATTGCGGTTTGGAACGCATTGGTGAGGCTCAGGATCAGTTGGTTAGCAGGAGATTGAGGGAGGTCAACATCGGTTGGAGAGGTTGGGGTGGAATTGTTGCTGTTCAGTGCCTAGTCCAGGTTGCGAACGTGGGTGATCGAGGTGCTACAGACCATGCATCCTTGTTGTCGGCTGGTAAAAACGACATTTCTTGGAAAAGGTTTCAAATTTGATTTATGGTCTACAATTAACCTGTATATTATATTGAAGACTCTAGTTTATTTGAATAACCCTGTATAGTATAGTGTAGACTCTTTTTTATTTTTATACCACTATAAGTGAAGACTCTAGCATATTTTGAATAACCCTATATATTATAGTGAAGACTAGTATATTTGAATAACCCTGTATATTATAGTGAAGACTCTAGTATAGTTGAATAACCCTGTATATCATAGTGAAGACTCTAGTGTATTTGAATAACTCTGCATATCATAGTGAAGACTCTAAGTAAATATTAATAACCCTGTATATTTACAGAGCGGATATCACCAAGTACAGTGAAAGTTTAACAATGGCACAACAAGCGCGTTGGTTAAAGCTGTCTAATATGACTGGATGTATCCCAAAATGTACTGTCAGGTGAACCCTCCATCTTTTTTTTCTTGGAAGACGACATAAATAGTAAAAGGCTGAAATATGTTGCACGCTTAGAATTTGAATTATTTTGTAACAAGAAAATATCTTTAATAAAACCTTTAACCTTTAAAACCATTGTAGATTTAGGTAAATAATTGTTTACTTAAATTGTATCAACAGACAACAACTGATTACTGATCACCAATAACCATGGTTAGTTTTGCCTTTTAAAAGATTCACAAACATCTGAGAAATTTACCAATTTCAAAGTTGTCTATTCTAAACTGAAATAAAAAACTATTGTTTTATTTCAGTTTTTGCCTGATATTTTCTCTTCGGATAAAATTTTTTGCATAGTTTATAAAGCCAAACTTTTATGGAATACGATTTTAAACTGTTGGAATCTTCACAAGTTATCAGTATTTGCGGGGTGCCTCTTACTAGTTTAAAACCTTCAAAGTTCTGGAAAAACGAACCAAATTATTGCCTATCACAAACCTAGTCTCCTTGTAGAAGCTATACCCTAGTGGAGAAGAGTAGTACTGAAGCAGACTGGGGAAGGAACTGGTCTGCTTCATTCTATCTCAGTGTTAAAACTTCAAGCTTCATTTCACAGGTAAAAGGGACTGTAGACGTAATTTCAAGTGACACTCCAGTGATAGAGTGGCATGTTCGATTTACATTGCAACCCTTTAAACTTTAGTCAATTGTACAGCTGAAAAGTGTACAGTTACACTAGCATAAAGCGTACAATGTAACCTTGAGCCCTCCCGTACCTTAATTTTCAGCTAGAAAAACAAGAATATCTACGTCATCCTTACTAGAAATAGGTTTAAAGGGGAACGTTGTGAATCTGATATGCCACTCTAAAAATGTAGGGCACTTACAATTACGTTTACAGTCCCTTTAAAGTCTACACAGTAATAACCAGAAACTCTGAAATAGGAAGACGACTTTATAACAATACTTATTTGTATTTCAGGTGTTGCAAAGCAAATCGTTTTACTATAGACACTTATGAAATCACCATTTAAGTGAAATGGGTCTTTTACACTACAAAATAGCGATGTCCAATGCTCATTGGCCTATTTAAAGTAAATATTTTTTGTTTTAAGTCGTCTTTTTATTCCGGAGTTTTTTGGTTATCACTGTAGAAAACACGTCTAAAATAAATGTCTGCAGTCCAATACATTTCAAAACAAAGGATACTTCAAAAACGTAAGATTTAAGGGACCGTTCACTTATTTGGCTAATTTCGAGTAAACTCATTATTCGCTATTAATTAGTTTTGGTCTTACTTTTCAAAGAAAACTGTGGCCGGAGAAAAGGCGATTTTTCGTTCAGAATTCGAGCGCAAAGGGACGGTCCCTTTGTCATACACTATTTCATATTTTTTGTCGATGTCATGGATTAAAAAAAAATTTTGAATATAAATTTAAACTGTAGTATTTAATAGTTAATTGTATATTTCATAATTTAAAAAAAATTAAAACTTTTTTAGGCGCATTGAACATTTTTTCTCTGTAAAATGCTGAATAGAACACGGCATAAAAAATGAAAGGTTGCGCGCATACGGGAACGGGATTATAAATTATAATTGGGTAGTTGATGATAAATTAGACAACTGATTGAGCGGTGTCATCATCTAAGGGGGGGGGGGGCAATACCAGATATCGGTTGGAGAACTGACATGTGTGGAGAGAATCGAATAGAGAGCGGTTCTCCCATCCCGACCCGAATACGAAAAACGTAAATTTATTAAAAAATTTCCATATTTTAGTATATGGAAATTAACACATAATGGCATTGAAATAAGATAAATTTGAATTTATTGGGTTGTTTTTGTTGAAAACGTCTAGTATAGTGTTTCAGACACTGGCTACGGATATCGTTGAAAAATAAGGCTAATACCGATTAACAGCTGATAGGGTGTTTAGTTTGCCATGAAATTACCCAATTAAGTTTAAAATTTGTTTTCCAATAAAAAAATGTTTAGAAAAACATGAAAATGAAAATTAAAGTTTAGAATTTATTTTTATCATTTTCAATTTGAATATGTATTTGATATTGCATCCTATTTGGTAGAACGAGTTCTTTGCCTTTGATATTTGGGACCTGACCTCCGGTATCGGAGGTCTTATGGGACTATTTGTCGGAGGCTCCTTCCTCTCCCTCATTTTCCTCCTGTACATGGCCCTGGAGAACTGTGCTGTGAAAGTTTTGACTTAACCAGGATTGAAGAATCAGGATATACTTTAGATAAATATACTTTAGATAAATAAACTTTTATTTCTTGGGAAACTTTTAAGATTATTTAAAATTTTCATTATTTTTATTTATGAAAATGAAAATAATCAAAATTTAATAAAAATGAGCATGAAAATAATAATAATTACATTAATAATTATTTGTATGCTTAAAATGATATTTTTTTTACAAATTAAGGAATTTATCCACGGTATAGGCTGGAGAGCATCCCATAAAAAATATTGTGATAATATCAAGCATAAATATATTTGATTATATATGAAATAATTTACCGGATGTCATTTCTGTATTAATTTTAGATAAAATTAAGGTTTTATCAATGATGAAGATTAAACTAAGGGGGATGTTCACTAAAAATGAACGGTGGTTAGGCTGATATCGATGGCTACAAATGTTAATTCTTTTTGTTGCGTATATAAGGAGATAATGGTTAAAAATGACTCATACCGAAGAGCCCAGGACCCATACAAATTATTTTACCCAAACCATAGATAATTATTAAATTTGAAACTAATCTTCAGATATTACAGTTATAACTTAATTCTATCCATTCAAATGAAGCTTTAAAAAACAATGACCTTTTCCTTTCATATGTTGTCACGAAAACTAATTTCGCAAGAATTCTGTTTAATCCTTAAAGATTGCTTCTTATTCTAATTCCGATGAAGACGACTTTCAAATGACGAGTGGAAAATTTGAACTGCAAGCAGGATATTTATTACAAAATTTAAGTTTTAATTCTTTATTTAGAATCTTAGATTTTAAATTTTAGTCCCAAAAAGTTTAGGATGATTTTCGATCAGTTGTTTAATCCCAGGCTTAAAAACATCAAAAAAAACGAAAGATCAATTTTACAACAATTTTTTTTATAATTCTCTTTGGTATCAAACAACTTAACAAATTCACTGTCGTGTTTGTGGGACACCCTGTACATGAATATTTACATTAAAGATTATTTTTATTGGAACACACTAAGAAGTTAGTTGATGCTACTGCAATAAGGAAAAAATTCTATATAGAATTTCTCCGTCCATATTATTTTTGCATTACCTTGAAATTTGTACAGACAAAAGCCAGAATATGAAAAATTGTGCGGGGAGGAGGGTGAAATCAGAAAATGTACGGGGGAGGAGAGTGAAATCAGTCATATTAAAATGTGTTCAGAAAACAAAAAAATACATTTGCTAATCAGGGGTCAATATAATTCCCAAAAAAGCTGATTTTCTCGATCCCAAAATAATTTTTTGCCCCCAATTTTGAAAAAAAATGCCCCAAGTTAAAATTTTTTTTTCAAATTCCACTCACACATTTGCCCCCATTACCCCCAATTTTTTAAAAAAATGCCCCCAATTTTTTTTTAAATTATCATATAAAAAAGATTTGCCCCCAATTAAAGAATTTGCCCCCATTTCTTTCAAATTTGTCAATCCCAAATGGGATTGAAAAGGGAATTATATTGACCCCTGTTGCTAATTAGAACATTATATATTTGTTATTTTCTCCTGAGAGTTTAACTAAACTTTTTACAACTCGGAGGAATAGAGATAATTTAAATATTTTTTTATTATCCTGACCAAAATTTTCAATTTCAAATTCTGTTCGTGCGCGATAATTTTTTTTTTCAATTTACTCGTGTTTAGTACTCCAACCTTCTGCTATGGTTTAGTACTTCAACCTTTACTCTTGTTTATTACTCTAACCTTCTACTTTTGTTTAATACTTCAACCTACTACTCCTGTTTAGTATTCCAACCTATTACTCCTGTTTAGTATTCCAACCTTTTACTCCTGTTTATTACTGAAACCTTCATCTCTGGCCTAGTACTTCATCCTTTACTCCTGATTAGTATTTCAACCTATTTCTCTAGTTTAGTACTCCAACCTGCTACTCCTGCTTAGTACTCCAACCTTCTACTCCTAATTAGTATTTCAACCTATTTCTGTGGTATGGTACTCCAACCTGCTACTCCTGCTTCTACTTCTGTTAAGTGGTCCAACCTATTTATCCTGTTTACTACTCCAGCCTACTTCTCTGGTTTAGTACTACAAACTTTTACTCCGTTTTAGTTTTCCAAACTACTACTCCTGTAAAGTACTCCAACCTACATCTCTGGTTTAGTACTCTAAATTGCTACTCTTGTTTATTACTCCAACCTACTACTCCTGTTTAGTACTCCAACCTTCTATTCCTGTTTAGTGCTTAAACCTACTAATTCTGTTTACTACTCCAACCTTATACTTCTGTTTAGTGCTCCAACTTTCTACTTCTGTTTAGTGCTCTAACCTACTAATCCTGTTTAGCACTCAAACCTTCTACTTCTGTTTAGTGCTCCAACTTTCTACTCCTGTTTAGTGCTCTAACCTATAACTCCTGTTTAGCACTCCAACCTTCTACTCCTGTTAGTACTCCCACCTATTACTCCTGTTCATTACTCCAACCTATTACTCCTTTTTAGCACTCCAACTACTTTAGCTTAGTACTCTAACATATTACTCCTGAGCTGAAAACTTAAGAATGTGATATCCTTAATCCTGATCTGTTAGTTAATCTGGAGATTAAATTCATGAGGTGAGCAAGCAATATTTAATCTGGAGATTAAGAAAAAGAGTGGATTAAGCATTAATCCTGATATCCAATATTCTAAAGTTCCCAGCTCTGTTCAGTTCTCCAACCTATTACGCCTGTTTGTTACTACAACCAACTACTTCTGCTTAGTACTCCAACATATTGCTACTGTTTAGTACTCCAACCTAATACGCCTGTTTAGTACTACAACCTGTAACTCCTGTTTAGTACTCCAACCTACTACTCCTGTTTAGTACTCCAACCTATTAGTACTCCAACCTACTACTTCTGTTTAGTACTCCAACCTATTACCCCTGTTTAGTTCTTTGAGGTTAGCCCTGTATATTCCTATTCGATGTTCCTTGTTCTGATGCATAATCCCTTTTTTCGCTGATTCATTGAGGTTTTTAAATCTCGAATAACAATTTTCATGAAATTAAGTTGCTCGGTCTAAAAAACCCTCCTATTCGATTTTCCTTGTTCTGATGCATAATCCTTTTTTTCGCTGATTCATTGAGGTTTTTAAATCTCGAATAACAATTTTCATGAAATTAAATTTCTCGGTCAAAAAAAACCCTCCTATTCGATTTCCCTTGTTCTGATGCATAATCCTTTTTTTCACTGATTCATTGAGGTTTTTTAATCTCGAATAACAATTTTCATGAAATTAAGTTGCTCGGTCAAAAAAACCGTCCTAGGATTATCTTCGCCTTTCACTGTTGCCTAATTATTTCGTTAGTGAAGTTAGGCAGCTGAGGACTGCCTGGATTGAAGCCAACGTTGTAAACAAGGATATTGTCTGTCCCCTTTCCTCTGCCCCTCAGGGAGATCTTAGGGTACATTCTTCAAATATCTTAAATTTAACTTTAGAGCAGAAAATAGCAGTAAACTTTCGTGATCAGTAAATTGTTTTTCTTCAACTGTCATCCATTTCATTTCATTTCATTTCATTCCCTTTTATTTCATTTCCTTCCCTTTCATTTAATTTCATTCCCTTTCATTTCATTTCATTACCTTTCATTTCATTTCATTTCATTTCATTTCATTTCCTTTCATTTCATTTCATTTTCTTCCCTTTCATTTCCTTTTATTTAATTTCATTCCCTTTCATTTAATTTTATTCCCTTTCATTTAATTTCCTTCCCTTTCATTTCCTTTTATTTAATTTCATTCCCTTTCATTTCCTTTTCTTTCAATTTATTCCCTTTCATTTACTTTCATTTCCGATCATTTTATTTCATTTCGTTCCCTTTCATTTCATTTTATTCTTGTTCCTTCCCATCCCTTTCATTTTCTTCCCTTTCATTTTATTTTATTCAATTCATTCCCTTTCATTTTATTTCCTTTTATTTCCTTCTTCACCGTGATTCCTTTTTAATTTATTTTATTTTCCATTTATTCCCTTTCATTATCTTTCCTTCTTTTCCTTCCTTTTCTTTCCTTTTTATTCCCTTTTGCATCCATTTAAGCTTCTCATTTATTTCTTCCTCATCAAACCTTTTTAATTCTTCCCTCTGATGCACCAGCTAAAGCATGATATGTACACTATGCATAAGACAGTACGGTAAAATGGGACGGTATACCAATTAAATCCTCCCCTTTTAGAGGGAATTATGTGATGCACTGCTAGATAAAATGATTTTTAAACTTATATATATATATGTTAACCCATGTTTATTGACTGATGAGGATCGAGAGATCTGAAATTCAACGTTTGAATATTTTGTTAAAGGGTGTGTAGCCGAAAACCCTGATGCAAAGATCCCAATGCCTGATTCACAACGGTACCCTTGCTACCTTTAAATGGTTAATGATTTGGAAGATATTGTACTTCTTCTAAGTTTGAGGTGTTTAATTTTGATAATTCCTGTATGTATTCCTGCAGTAGAAATATGCATGTCACTTTTGTGGAGATGACACAATTGATAATAATTAGTTTTCAAAATGATAAACATTGATATGTAATTAATACTTGATCAAACAAAGGTTTTCAGGATACCATTGTGAATCGAACATTGTCATCTTTCCATTGAGTCAGTTACGCTTACAGTCCCTTTAAATATGAATGTTAGATCACATGTTCTTGCGTGTTTTCCTTGACGTAAGACTTGTCAAAAGTGATTAAATTTTGAACGCTACAAAATTAAAGGCAATAAATAAATGATCTTACCAATAATGTGTGAACAGCTTTTAATTTGAAACTCCTTTCGTTTATGAGTCTTTTCACATGATAATGCATAAAACGTTGAAAATCTTGTCATCTGCACGTCTATAGGCTTAACTGTGTTTCTCGGTTTCAAATTAATATAATTTTTCTTTTAAAATGTTTAAGATCATTGCATAATGCACAGACAATTTGATTTCTTTCAGCTAAGTGTCTTTTTTAGAAATTTCCTGTATGTTTGATATCAAATTGAATTTCTTATCTGTACTAGAGTATAAAATGCCGGATTAATGAGCTATGATGATCTAGGATTAGATTAAGAGTGTATCCGATCTGGCGGATTAAATGACCTGAAGGTTCAGCTGTTCTCTCCGTATCCATGTTAGAGCAGTCTCAGGCACTGCTGTATCCAAGTATTGAAAGCCAGCTTAAATCAGGAGAGTTTCCGCAAATATTAAAAAATTCCATAAAACTAAAATATCTTTAGTTAATGTATTTATTATGATAAAGCTAACTTAGCTGTAAAAGTTGTTTAAGGTGTTAAAGTGAGTAGGTTGACCCCTGTATTCTGTAGCTGGGCCAGGGAGTAGGTTGACCCCTGTATCCTGTAGCTGGGCCAGGTGACAACGAAACTGACCGCTACAATATATACACTCCACACTAGGCAGTCAGCAGGTAAGCAGTCTAGGCTTTAACTACAGCCTTTATTAGAGAAATACATCCAATAGAAGCATAGAAAGACAATAGACTCTCCACTAAAACCCCACCATTCCTTCGGTCAGTGTACTGCAAATCACTGCAGTACACACCGAAAGCTTAGTTGAGGGTGAATAGATTGGACAGACAAAAAATAGATTAAATAGACAGAAGATAGGTTAGATAGATAGACAATAGATTGAATAGACAGACATTAGATTGAATAGACTGAAAATAGGTTGAATAGACAGACAATGAATTAAATAGACAGTCAGTTTGAACAGACACACAAAATATTGGATAGACAGAAAATAGACTGAATAGACAGACTATAGATTGAATAGACAGAAAATAGATTGATTAGAAAGACAATAAATTGAACAGACAGCAATAGTTTGAATAGACAGAAAATAGACTGAATAGACAGGCATTAGATTGAATTGACAGACAATAGATTGAATAGAGAGACAATAGATTGAATCGACAGTCAATAGATTGAATAGACGCAAAATAGGTTGACTAGACAGAAAATAGATTAAATAGACAGAAAATAGTTTGAATAGACAGACAATAGATGAAATCTATAAACATACAATAGATTGGATAGATAAACAGGTAAAATATTGGATAGATAAATAGAAAATAGATTGAATAGACGCACAATAGATTGAATAGACAGAGAATAGATTATATAGACAGAAAATAGATTAAATAGACAGACAATAGATTGAATCGATAAACAGAAAAAAGTTTGAATAGATAAACAGAAAAATACTTGGAGAAATAAGCAGAAAATAGATTTGATAAAAACCAGATTATTAAAGAACTTCAAGAATTGAACAGCAGTTCAAATAATTCTTATTTGTAGCGAAATTGTATTTTTCTCATTCCTATATATTTACAACCTGTCTGTTTATTTGAACAGAAAAAATTGTTGAAATAGCAAAGGTCTTCGTTAGTAAGTTGCAAATACAAATTAATTAAAAGACTACAGTTTAAGGTGAATAATCTGTTCCTTCGCTGCTTTTGGTTCATTAACTTAAAATACATTAATTAGCAAATTGATTGGAAAGAATATTGTTCGGATTTTGAAAAATATTATATGAAACGCGAAACCATACTTTAAACGAAATTCATCTAAGTTTTCAAGCAAATGCGAAAAACTTCAATGCCATTTAACAATGTAAAAGAGAAACCAATTTGAATCCTAAATATAGAATTCTAAAATGCTTTACATAAAGATTAAGTCTGTGTTCGACAAAATGCTCAGATTTTGCTTACAAATTCTGACCCGTCAACATAAATCAATTAAATGATGCTAGGCAGGTTTAGATTGTAGAGAAGTATATCTCTCCGGGTTTAGATAAGATACAGATAAATAGGATAAAATCCGACACGACCGCGTCAATTTTCCGAGAGAAATCAGTTCTCAACTGCCCAAAACTAAAAAACAGAGAGGGTTGCGATATGGCCATGGATGAGAAAATTTAACATCGCACANGGGGGGGGGTGAGATATGGCCATGGATGAGAAAATTTAACATCGCACAGGAAGAGATACTAGAAGGAAAACGTATCAAATATCTTGGACAAATTCCTAAATATTAGAACATTCTTCAGCTTTATTCTCTCAAATAGATATTCGACCCAATATCAAACACAATGCATCCTACCTACAGTTTTACTATATACCTGGTTATCCAGCCCATTATATATCCCATCTTCTCTATACCTGGATATCCAATTCAATGTATCCTACCTTTATTCAGCTCTATACCTGGAAATCCAACCCAATAAATCCTGCCTTCAGTTCCACTCAATACCTAGATATCCATCCTTGCACTCTGCTCTTTACCATGATATCCAGCTCGTTAAACCCATCTTTTAGCTTTACTTTATACCTAGAAATCCTGCAAAATTTATATATATATTCTTCTTTTTTACTTTATACATAGGTATCCAGCACAATATAACCATTCTTCAGTTTTACGTTGCACCTAGATGTACTGTCTAATCTTTAAAATCTACTCTATACCTGGATATCCAAACCATCATTCCGTTCTACTCTTTACCTAGATACGCAACCTTCCGCTATACTCTATACCTAGATACCCAACCTTTTGCTCTACTCTATACCTTAATACCCTGGCCAAGATATACATTCTTTAAGTTCTACTCTATACCTAGATATCCGGCCCAATAAATCCAATTCAATCCTTCAATTTTACATTATAACTAGATATCCAAATGTTTAGTTCTTCTCTTCACCCAGATATCCAGCTCAATATTTCCAGCTTTCAGCTTTGTTCAAAAATTTAGTTCGAAGAAGTAAATAACGCTCAAAGTTTTAAGAATCATAAAGAAATGTTTAGCTTTCATTAAGAAAAAGATTCAATGCGAAGATTTAGGTCATTAAGGAGAAAGCAAGTAGCAGTGTTGAGAATTGAAAAAAACTATTTTGTAATGACAATTTTCAAAATTTGGCAAGAAGACAATTTTTTGAAAATTCAATTATTCTTGAAAGCCACAAGGTCAGGCAGGGAGGTAGAAAACAACGTAAATAAACTGCGTAGAACGACAACTGTCCAACTGCGTAGAACGACAACTGTCCAACTGCGTAGAACGACAACTGTCCAACTGTCTGAACACATGAATTAAATACATTTATGTTTTGAAATATAGTAAACTCTTTAAATGCATATTGTATTTAATGATATTCAAATTTTTCAATTGTTTGTTTTATTTTAGAATCTTATTGGAATCATGTCTGGCGAATTCCCCAATATTCAGTCTACTCACTCCCTTGTGGCCAAGCATGTCACCAAGGATAAATGGGACCAGCTGAAGGACATTGAGACCAAGACCTGTGGATTCACCCTAGCCAAGGCTATTGCCTGCGCTGTTGAGTTCGACAACCAGCATTGCGGAATCTACGCCGGAGACTGGGATTCCTACAAGGACTTCGCCATCGTCTTTGATCCTCTGATCCAGGAGTACCATGGAATCTCTGCTGATGCCAAGCACACTTCTGACATGGATGCCTCAAAGATTGTTGGAAACATCGCCCCTGAAGTCCCATGCCACTCCACCCGTATTCGTGTTGGACGTAACATTGACGGATTTGGACTTTCCCCCGGAATCACCAAGGACCAGCGTATTGCCATTGAGAAGCTGATGTCCTCTGCTCTCTCCAAGCTGACCGGAGATCTTGCTGGAACCTACTATCCTCTCACTGGTATGGATGAGGCTGTCCGTCAGAAGCTTGTTGACGATCACTTCCTCTTCATGTCTGGAGACCGTAACCTCGCTGTTGCCGGTATGGAGCGTGATTGGCCCGAGGGCCGTGGAATCTTCCACAATGAGGCCAAGACCTTCCTTCTGTGGGTCAATGAGGAAGATCAGACCAGAATCATCTCCATGCAACAGGGAGGAGATGTCAAGGGAGTTTTCGAGCGTCTGGCCCGTGGTATCAAGGCTGTCGGAGATTCTGTCAAGGCTGAGTCCGGCAAAGAATTCGCTCTTGACGAGAGGTACGGATACATTCACTCCTGCCCCACCAATCTAGGAACTGGTATGCGTGCATCTGTCCACGTTGACCTGCCCGGCTGGACCAAGGAGGGAGTTGACAAGCTGAAGGCTAGGTGCGAGGAGCTCGCTGTCCAGCCCAGAGGAACCAGAGGAGAATCTGGTGGCCAGACTGGTAAGTCAAAAAAGATAGATTTAACTAATAAATTTTATATTTTACAATTAATGTTTCAGGTCACACTTATGACATCTCCAACAAGCATCGTCTTGGATACTCCGAGGTTCAGCTGGTCCAGGTTATGATTGACGGTGTCAACACCCTGTGGAAGGAGGATCTGGAGTTCCAGAAGAAGCACGGAATGTAAAGAAGCATAAAAACTTGTTCTAGATCAGAACTCTATCCAGCCATGTGCATGATTGTGTGTGTGCGTGCTCAATAAATGTGTTTGAAGTTAGTACTTTTTAGTTTTGAAAAGAGTGGGAGAAAAAAGAAGAGATTAAAGTTTAGAAGTTGTCAAATCATCAATAATTGTAAGCATAGTTATTCCTTTAAATGTTTATTGGAATTAAATAAAAAATTTTCCTTTCGAGAAATTTTAAAAAAAGTTATCAACTCTAATGACGTAAACATTTAAAATTGCGATGATACATTTAAGTATGCAGAGCTGAAATCAATGATTCCCAGAAAATGGGACAGTAAGGTTTGCCGTCGTGATTTTTATTATTTTATGGGTCGATTAAATTTAAGTAAAAAATTGCGCTGGATATTGTTTCAAATTAAGATCAAGCAATACAATTAAAAACTTGGTATTTGATATTCTTAGATTATTCTATTGTATTTAATATCAAATTCAAATCAATTATCATATTTTTTTCCAAGCTGATAAAATAAGTGTGCGAAAAGGCTTTTAAAATCCTGCAATATTTTCTAAAAACAGCTTTGTCGGGATAAAATGCGAGTTAATTGCCCTGAAACAAAAAAGAAACTTTATAGCCCAGGGATCATGAAATTGTTGGGTGAAAAACTACTTAAAAAGTGAAAAAAAAGGTATTTTATGATGCTCCTGTTGCAAACAAATAAGTTTTATTCACAAGATCCAAACTATGGTTTGACTGGAAGTGGAATTGCAAAATCTTGAATTTTATTCTAGGCCTACAATACTCACGAAAACAGAATTAAACTACAAAAGAATTTGTAACAAAGAATTGTTAAGGAGAAAAAGGAAAAAAATGGCGTTCATTTTTCAGCAGTTTTTCGTACAAAAACATTTTTCAAGTTAACGCTCGACGGACAGAGCTAGTTACTTGGCAGAAATGCAATACTGTTACACGAGAAGAAAAAACAAGATAATAATTTGAACTTTTTAAAGGAACTGTCAACGTATTTCATTGTAATACTGTTAATATTATTTTTGTTAGTGAAATTTCCTAAATGTGGCCCGAAAGTAACCTGCTGATTTTTAATTGTAAAATTCTGAAAGCTGCAAAAAATCTATGAATTTTCAATTTTTTGTTGTTGATGTTTTGCCCATTGTCGTTCCCGCCCCTTAAAAAAAGAATGGTATTTCATTCTTAAAGTTTAAATTTATTTGGAAATATTTTAAGAATTTCCTACGTTGACTTTTCAAATATTTTAATGCAGATTTGTCTATTTCACGGTAGTCAGGTCTAAAAACCTGAAAAAATCTAAAATAATTTAAAATATTTAAAACAAGATTATACTAGAAAGGTGCAGACCACGACATGTCTAAAGAAAAATTATCTTACTGGGTAACACATGACTATTAATCCTAATTTTGTTTGAATGTTTAAACCTTGTATTGTTCTATAAAAAGATAAACGGGTGTTTACTCCGAGTAGAGAGAAATAAAGTAGGTTTATCAAATGTTACATCTCCGCTAATAACAAAACATAAAGCATAAAAGTTGTAACAATACATACATACATGCTTTAAATCTGAAAGAAGATTCTGTAAAAAGTTTAGAAAATATAATAATGATAAAAAAATAAAAATAGTTTAGATATTGGGTTTTAATCATCGTTAACCATTCTCTTCTTAATCCCTTGTCAATTATTAATATATGTCGATATTTTACAAAATATATTTTGCAAGGACGTTTTGAATAATTGGATAAAGAAATTTCTATGTTTAATGGTCATAAAATTTAAGATAAACCCTTATTAGCTTATTCTGATAAAGATGAAAGTAAAGGAATTGAGTCTTTGCCACAAACTCATAATCTTCTAATCCATCTTTGTCGTGTCATAGATTTTTCAAACTACGAATTCTGCTGGGTTCAAGATTCAAAGTTTGATATTTCAAAGATGTTCACCGTCAGGTTGTAAAGAGAGGGATTCGAAAATTAGAGCTTAACTAAAGAATTGAGTCATTGCCACAAACTCTGATTTCTTAATCCCCTTACCTCTACAACCCAATGTTGTAGACCCTAGATATTTCAAACTATGAATTCTGATGGATCAAATAATCAAAGTTTGAAATATCAAAGGTTTACGCCATCTGGTTTTAGAGATATAGGTATTAGAAAATTGGGATTTGTGGCAAAAACTCATTTCATTTGTTCAAGTCCTTTGTTTCTAACTGAATTTAAAGAGACATATAAGAGAGTGTTTATATTCCAACTTCCTGGGCCGCTAAACTGCTTTCTCAGCATTTTTTCAATATTTTGCCGATTGCAGAGGTTTAAATGCCGTTCCCTGCAGACTCTGCAATTTGCAATCTGCATACATTGCTGATAAATATTTGCAATCTGCATACATTGCTGATAAATATTTGCAAACAGACTTTGCACTATCTGGGAAATCTTTTCTCACACCAAGTAACTTTTATTATTCTAAACTATTATGTTTTATATTCTATATTTTTTATTCTAAACTATTATGTTTTATATCCTATATTAATTTATTGATGAATTTCTGAGGTTGTCATTATTAAATATATTAAAGAAGTTGAACAAGCAAGGTACAAATAATAGATCAATTAATCTATAATCATTAAAATTCCGAGGTCGGTAAAGTAGTTGAACAAGGTACGGATAATTTAACTACCTTCTGGTATGGCGGAGAGTGTATTAAAGTTCAAACTCTGGCAGATCAACAAGCTCGGCTCTTTAATAACAAAGTAAATTCTTAATTCTCAATAATATATTATATGGAGTTGGTTGATTTGGTCCGCTGTAAAGAAGGGTTCCGGGGGCCGAATTTGATAAAATTGAACCAAGTCTAGACGCGATTCAATTAAAAACGGTTATTAGGGGTTCAGTATTAGCAGTTAGTTTTACTTGGGTCATACGGCCACACATTCGATTTAATTACTATAATAATAATAATTACTATTAATAAGTACTGATTGGATAATATAATGTTCAGATGGTATATGTAAGAATGTTTGGAGGATTTGTTACTTACTTTTGTTACGTTTGTCAGTATCCGTACTGCATAATATAGATGTTACATATGTGAAGTATATAGAGTAAAGTGAACCTTCATATTAATTTTCATTCCAAATTAAAGCCGTTTAATTAATTCATTGACACCAAGACATAAAGATAATATATTGACAAGATCTTTTTTTCAAACTTAAATTACGGGATTTATTTAAGGTTTTTGCAAAGAATGTTATGTGCACAATCGTAATAATTGTGCAACTGCAAGTCACTATAATATTCTGTGCGCATACATAATAAAACATCTTTAATCAAGAAAAGAAGAAAAATAATGCATCCTAGAAAATGTTTACAAGTACAGTATTTAAGACAACCTTCATTTGCGAAAATTTTATAAAATAAGTTTGTATGTAAATGCTATTGATTTAGAGATAAGTAGTTGGCTATTGTAAAAATCAATTATCTAAAAATCTAATTTAAGATCATAGAGGAAATATTCAAAACATTCAAGGCCCTTTGAATTAGTAATTTTAACCCAAACAATATCAAACAACTTTTTAAATCTATCAAAATCTGCTATTTGAATTTTTATTAGATGGCAAAGGAACTGATCTCTTGCCACACACATTTTCTAATCCCTATATCGTCACAACTTGATGATGTAAACCTTGGATATTTCAAACTTAGACTATTTGATCCAACATAATTCATAGTTTGAAATATCAAAGGTCTTTAACATTAAGTTAAAAACAATAGTTTGCTGGAAGAACTCAGTTCCTTTAGACAATTTTGATTTGTGGGTGAGGAAGATAATCAATGGATCTTCACGACGGACAAGAAACATGAGGAGAGCTACCTGAAGCTTCAAATGCTACCAGAAAAATCAGAACTTTTTATAGAGCCAATAGGACTGATACTAAAACTTTCGAAACTAATTCCAGAAGTATCAGAACTGATACTAGAAGCTTCAGGATTGCAACCAACAACTTGATGACTTCTTATATCAGAAGTTTCAGGACTGCTATACCAGACGCGCCAGGACGGCTACTAGAAGATCTAAAACTTCAGGACTGCTACCAATAGCTTAATGACGGCTGCTTTAGTTACAAACTCAACTTTTTTAGAGCTTATCTAGCTATAAAAAATTCAGGCAGTACCTGGGAAGCAAGGCAGTTGACCAAGGGCTTTCAAACTTTGATACAACATGCATTATTATTGAAGTCTCTAATATTTACCTTTCAAAAGTTATTGCAGAAAAAGAAACCTAACTCAATATTATTTTGTATGGTCATTTTGTATAGTCATTTTTATTTCCGCAAATACATCGATTTTCATACTTCATTTTGTTTACCTATTTAGAAGCATATAAATGTTTATTCAAAAATTTTTTATCAAATCCGAATTTTCTAGATGTGAACTTTGATTATTCAGAAAACAACAAGAATTTTTGTTGGTTTTCTAAGCCATGAGACCTTAGCTTCTGAAATTAAAATCTTAGCTTATGAGCTAAAAACTCGTAAAATTTCAATAAGAAATCATACCTCTTCTTTAATCGCACTTAACAGTCATAAAAAGACAAAATATGAAGAAACTCATATTTTCAAAAGTTTTAGAAATATCGTTTTGTGAAACATTGCTTCTTTACAATACAACTCGATTGCTGTCCAATTCGGATCTGTAGGTCATTGAATGAAGTAAACCTTAGTTTTATTATAATTACGCACATCAAATGTATCAATATAGAAGTACACTTTACTCGTACTAGTTATAAATAAAAATTTTAAAAATCACGATTTATATAAACATTGTTTACATAATTAAATAGTTTGATAAACATCTCTGAGCTTTAGTTCTCCTAAGACAAGCTTAGTAAGCTGTGAAACTAACTTCGAACAAAACTAATCAATTTTCAATATTTCTATGAACAATGTTCTCAACATTTTTTTAGATAATCATTCTTACTTGTGAATGTATTAATTATCTAAATCTTCTGTTTAGTTTCTTTTTATGTTCGTCCTCCTTCCTATCCTTCATATCCTCCCTATCCTTCCTATCCTTCCTATCCTTCCTATCCTTCCTATCCTTCCTATCCTTCCTATCCTTCCTATCCTTCCTATCCTTCCTTCATTCCTATCCTTCCGATCCTTTCTATCCTTTCTATCCTTCCTTCATATCCTCCCTATTCATTTGTGTCTCTACTACCTTTCCTAACCATCCTATCCTTCAAATCGTAATATTCATTTTTGTTTCTCCGATTCTTCTGATATTTTTATTCTCTATATATTTCATATCTTTCCCCCCTTCAATTCTTCTAATCATTCATTTTCTTCCAAAACTCAACTCTCCAAACTGTCATTCGATTTCCTTACTTTTAATATCTTTAATAGATACGCGCTGACCAGTTCATATTATCGCATCTCATTCAATCAGTTTAAATCAATTCTCCCTGGACTGCCGCCCCCCCCCCCTGATCAGTTCACACACACACTGCACACACGCTTTCGTTAAAACCTGTATTCCTGGGACTACAAACTGCATTCAAACAGTATTCAGTTCTTAGTTGTGTTATACAAAACTCTGAGTTTCCAAAACCCATTACTGAGATAAGAAACGGGTGGAAGGATAGAGGTGTTCATTTATCAAATGACAACCAGCTGTGCTCTATTTCTTGTAGATAATGCTTGATCTTTCAAAAATATCAGGTTTTGTATGAGAACATCACTGCGACACATTGTAACTGTTTTATGTATACATTGGGGTTGCACTGCAAACTAAACAGAAGGATAAGATTGAATTGATACGAAATTATTGGTACAACTTTGTAAACTAGTTGCTCCGCTTGCTTTTATTTTATACCCAAGTATGAAAAAGGCAATTTATCCGGTTAATCATTATAAACTAAAAACGTTTTTTTTTTTCTTTAAAATATATTTTTAATAAGAGTAGTAATGAATATAAAGTTTTAATTTTATGTACAATTTACTTTAGTTTAACGTGGTTTGTGTAAACTGCAGGAAATTGAAACCTGGAGAACCAAATAGAAACATAATTCTATCCCTGTTATAAACTGATATTCACAAATATCCTTCTTTAGGATTATAGCCAGACATTTATCATACATTTGAGTGTCGAGATATTTCATATTTAGTTCAGGAGATATATTTATAGACCAATATACAGATAAAAATGTAAGAATTTTGCATCCTTTCCAAACTTTTTAAAACTCTCAGGGGGAAACTTTTATTTATTTTAATTTTAAAGTTTTCTAGAGGTCCAACTATGGTATTTTTTGTATGGGGGGGGGGACATTTGTGTTTGTGTTAATTTGTTAATGATATATTTTTAGTGTGAAATCTTAGAGAAGTTTAATCAGATAAATTCGTCCCATTGTTTTTTAAATTTGAAAATTCCCCTTTTTTGATCTCAAGGAGGGGGGGGGGGCGCCCCCTCCCTTAAAAAATCTAAGACGTATGTACGGTGTATTATTGCTAAGTAAGAGGGAAAAATCTATCTTTATAATCCTCATTGGCGCTCGCCCTCAGGCAGGTTGTGTCACAGCACGGCGTGTACAAACGTCTTATTGGTCTCAAACGATTTCTAAAGCAAATTTCTCTTTAATATTGCACTCTCCGCTCAACTACCATGTCTAGCCAGACACTCCCTTTAATTCAAGAACTATAAAGCAGACAGTAAATATTTAAATATTCAAAGCGTCAGAAATGACACTAAAATTAAAAAATACAAAAATCGAAATTTTTATGATTGTGATTATTGTTTTTTTATTTGCAGAAGAATGTTTATATTTCTGATCCTTTGTTCACTGTTACGTTTGTATTCAGGCAAAATACATTTAATTTCTTTAGTTAAACATGAAAGGATCTAATCTTTTACTAATTTGCAATGTGATAAAAATATAAGGATTCATATATTTTTATAAATAAAAACATTTTCAGGGGCGGATCTTTCTCCTATCATCATAATACCAGGAAACAAGAAAATAATTATTCACTGTTTTTCATTTCTTTTAAATTTTATTTGGAACAAAATAGAGGGTGGCTCAAAAAAGTGAGAAAATATAAATTCCTTTCAAAAGTCTAAAACCTGTGCCATTGAAAATAATTCAGAAATCAGGATAAAATAAATATCGTTCGTTCAGATTCAATCAAGATTGTATTATAAGGTAAGTTACTCTCGATGCGCTCCTATGTATGAAAAATGTTGTCTTCTTTGATAGATTGATAAATACCCAATATGACGTCACTCTCGCCTTTATAATTAATGACGTCATATTGGGTATTTAGCTGTTTATCTTAGAAGACGACATTTTCTGCACATTGCAGCACATCGAGAGTAACTAACCTTATAATACAACCTTGGATTCAATATAGATTTACAGTTTCCCATGACGTTTTTGAGTAAGTGTCCTCATGAATAAACCAGTAATAATTTTTTCTTAATTTTCTATGATTTAGGTTTTGTTGCGATATAGTATAAAATAATAAATGAGAGTTAAAGGTTTCTCAAAGTAAGTTCAAAGAGCAAACATTTATGAGATTCAAAAAGTATCCCTAATCCCTATCTGTTGGGCCACCATGCAAATGAATAATTTAGGATAGGGTGTTTTAAAGGGACCGTTCATTTATTTGGATATTTTGAGGGCAAACTAAATTTTTTAAAAAGTTATTTAAAAATTTTAATTTTCAAAATATAACTTTTTTTAAACATTTGACAGATTGAACAAACGTTTAAATAGTATCGTACCTTTGCAATGGAATTCTAAGCGATAAATCTGCCATAGCTATCATTGCAAAGTAAGACTAATACCAATGAAAAGCTACTAACCCTTTAATAAAGCTTTTAATAAATTATTATACAGCTCTCATCATGGTTCAACTTTTAGTTATTTAGCTGGGCACCATAAAATCTAAAAATATTCTGGTCAAATAATTATTTTGCACACAGGTTTTAGTATATTTCAGAAATATTAAAATGAATGATTTTGCTTTATTCAAAATTATTTCTGACAGAAAAAGAAGATGTTAATTCGCCACAAACTCTAATTTTTTATCACTTTCTTTGCACCTTGAATTTTAAAACTATGAATTCCGATGAATCAAGATGCCAATGGTAGAAATATCAGTTATACACGATCAGGCTACAAAGATACAGGGTCAAGGATTAGAAAATTAGATTGCTGAAGATTCATTTACAGCACGAACAATTGTTTAGAGCTATCAACGGTGGTTTTGATTTATTTATTTTATTTTATTTATGTTCTGGTTTAAAGGAGACGGGGGTAATCAGCTGGAAGCCCGCCTAGATAAACCCAAGGATACTTCAGGTTAAAACTATGTCATCTGGGAACTTGTTGGATACTTATACTACCGATCGTTTGATCTCGATACTTATACTACCGATCGTTTGATCTCGATACTTATACTACCGATCGTTTGATCTCGATACTTATACTCCCGATCGTTTGATCTCGATACTTATACTCCCGATCGTTTGATCTCGATACTTATACTACCGATCGTTTGATCTCGATACTTATACTCCCGATCGTTTGATCTCGATACTTATACTACCGATCGTTTGATCTCGATTTCCACTGAAGGCACTTTTAATTTGAAAATCAATACTTAATCTCTTTTTCGAGTAATTCTTTTTGGGTACTGTTACCATGCAGGATGTCAAATAACGATGAAATTAATCCTCAGATTATGGATTAGCAAGCATTGATTCCGATATCCGAAATACAAGAGTTCCCAGCTCAGAATACATATAAGCGGAGGTCGAAATTTCGATATTCAATTAAAGTTTGAGAATAAATACTTGATCTCCTCAATTGTATCTGCAGTGAAGGACCACAATGATTTATCGAAGAGGAATTAAATCAATATGTAGTTCTGCAAGAGATGGAAATCAATGTTTTAACACAACATTTTTCTGTATATTCAATATTTTCCTCAACCTGTTAGGCCAAATCGACACTTATCAATTTTAAAATTGATCCAGAAATTTGACCCGAATCAGATTTTTACAGTTTTAGTTCAGTCAGACTGTTTCAACCTAACGGTCTTCGATAGCATTGGTCATCATGTTATATAGCTGTAAGTAGGTTAGATTGGTCATCATGTTATATAGCTGTAAGTAGGTTAGATTGGAAAAGAAAGACTTTGACTCGTTTTCTTCCTATATTTCATAATTATGTATTAATTTCTTTTTTTAATGTTACAAACCGAACACTGAACAATTCTATTTTGTTTATTTTTTCATCTACTTTATAAACAATATCTTCGGTGGATCGCTTTATTTTAATTCAGGAACACGGGAAACATTTTCCAGAACACAGTTTTCTAAACTACTTCTTATAATTTTATTAAAAACAACTGATTTTAGCTGAACACAAACTTTTTAAATTGAAAAAAATTAACATTTTTTGAGAAAGAAAAATGACGATATCTTCCTCCTTGTTGTTCAGTTAGAAAAAATACTGTTTTGCATACAACTCATACAACTCTTTAACTGAGGTTACTTTAAATTAAGCCGACAGACTCTTTAAACTTATTTTAAAGTTAGTCTGCATAAAATATTTATTCGCTCATGATTTTGTGAACAAAATTCATCTCCTTCCCTCCCAGTATTCAGGTTCAAAATAAGAAAGATCTGAAAAAAGAATCGAAATATTTTAATATTTTAATATTGTTTCCAGGATGCCCACATCAAGATGATTGGCACAGGATGTGGTTGGATGTTTGGAGCCTCCAGGGCAGCAGGCTCAAGTATTCAAATAATCATTCAATCTTTTATCCATTCATCCTTTCGTTCATCTTTACACCCATCTATACGCGAGTTTCAGGGTGAGGGGACTAAGAACAGCCCAAGGGATCTAGGGGACCTAGAACTTTTGTAAACATTTTACGGTCAGTTTTATGAGGGGGTGTCTATCACAAACACATTCTGTATACTTCATTTTAAAATCGTAGCACGTTTTTTTCATAGCATTAGATGAGTGAGAAATAGTTTGTTAAAATTAAAAGTTCTTTTTATTTGAATTTAAACACAATTAAGATATCACCTATTCCCAAAATACTAAATAAATATTCACGCAACCTCGAGCCTACAATTTTATGATTCAAGTTAGAAATAAAATATGGTCATAATTTTGGTTACAGTATATATTTACGTTTTTATTTTTGAACTTCAATTTTTTGTGACATCAAACTGAAAATATGAATTTTGTTATAATTTTTCTTTTGTCCCTAGGTCTGTATGTTTGTTGTTTATGTTTTTTGGTTCGTTTTTGATTGGTTTTTAAACATTGATGGTTTTTGGCCGCGGTTCAAGACAAAATCAAAATTCAAACTGAATGTTTATTCTAAAAGTTTTTCTTTTTTCATGAGCAAAATCTTACTTTGACAAAAGATTATATACACAGGCACTGAGATCTATACAGCCATGAATATTATGCATCAACTATTAAGATTGGACCATCTTTAAAGCGTCTCAGTGCTTTGATGCTTCGCTTTACCTTGACAACAAACATAAAGTTCTGGTTTCGAAATTTCAAAAAACTCAACTAGATCTGCCGAACATGAATTTATGCCTCCATGTTGGATCAAACAAGCTAAAGTAGACTTTTTGCGTAAAACAATAAAACAGATTCTTGGGTTCCAGTTTTAAATTATGTTCTTTAGAAATAAAAACATAGTTATCAAGATAATTTAAATCAGAGCTTAGTCACTTCTAAGATTTACTAAAATTTACAAAATCTTCTATAACAAATGTACAGGGACATTCACCTTCCACTAGACATAAGGAAAAGGTCAAATAGATTCAAACCTACTGGTATACGACTCTAGTCATCTAGTTCACAAGTACAGTGAATACCAAAAAACTTTGGAAAAGAAAGACGACCTTAAAGCGATAATTAAGTGTGTTTAATTGTGTTACAAAGCAAAGTCTGTTAAAACTGCTCAATTTCTGTGTTTAATGTTTATTGGATTTTTTTAAAGTCGTAACTTAAGCCTAAAGTCATCTTCCCATTGCAGAGTTTTATGATTATTACTCCAGAAGAAAAGTTTTTGTTGTTGTTACATTACTAGAATTTCAAAGAAATTTACCTCCTCAATAGGTGTTCAATAATAGGATTTGTGATTAAAAACTGATGTCATTTTTTAATATAACTTTAAATTTACTTAAATTTAATGTAGGCCCCGGACCAACCATGATATGGTAATAATATCACATTTCCGATTTCTTTGAATTGTTGGCATTGACTAACATTTGCCACAAATCAATATTTTGAATCATTCGACCCAGTAAGTTTTGCAGATGACACAAGTGTTCCAGAGAAATTAGAATCAGTAGAATATTATCAAGAGCTTCTAGACTTCTTCAACACACTAATCACAGTGACGGATTATTCAATCAATCAAGCAAAACAGAAATTCTCGCATTCAATCAGACCCAGCACGGTGAAATAAACAATATAGAAAAGGGAAAGTAGTGACAAAGGTGAAACATCTTGGAATCATTCTCATAATTGAAAAAGCCAACTACAATTATCTGACTCCAAGATTAGAAAATGCAAAGAGTAGGATCACAAGAAGAAACAGCACCACATACACAAGAACTCATAGTCAAGCAAATCATGTTCTTATGTCAATTATTGGATAAAGAACAAATAGAAGAGATACTAAAGCTAATTTACAAAGCTCTTTGGAGGGAAAAAATTAGTGTTGATGCAATCATGGAAAAGGGTGGAGTAAGCCAGTGGGGTCGGTCGGTCGGTCGGTCTAGTTAGCCCTTCGACGGGACTATGCCAAGAAAATTGACCCCTGTCGTATGTTAGTCTGGTTAGGGCGACGTACTGTACCATAGAATCGGTCAGTACACGCTGTTATCTGGCAGGCCGGTACAAACTGGGCAGGTCATGTTCGAATTCAAATTTACTACGACCCAGAGTGGGAAGGACGGCACAAGATATCAAAGGAAGGAACAGATGCACCAGTTAGAGTAGGAGGTCTCACCATGAGAATTACGAAGATCAAAACATCTATATTACGACTCTGGAGTAAGACATATAAGGAAATATTACAGTGATGAAATATAAACCTTAGAAATGAGAAGGAATGCTCAGATAGTCTAGAAACAGACAGGCAATCAGGAAACAGACAGGCAATCAGGAAACAGACAGGCAATCAGGAAACAGACAGGCAATCAGAAAACAGACAGGCAATCAGGAAACAGACAGACAATCAGTAAACAGACAGGCAATCAGGAACCCCAGTGAGAAGAACAAACTTCGAAAATCAAACAAAAAAGAAGAAAAAAATAGAAAAAAGCAAAAAATAGATAAAGTTAAGAATAAATAAAAGAATAAAAGAAAAAGACAAAAGAGATCTAGAAAGAAGGAACTAAAAAGACAAAAAAAAATATATTTGCAAAAATGAAAAAAAAATAAAAATCCTAAATAAGGAAGAATAAATAAAAAGATAATATCTCTGTTGGGTTTAGAGATGGTTTCTCATAAGGTAAAGGAAATAAAAGTTTAAGAAAAAGTATAGAATGATCGGGTCTTGTAAGTTGAGTCTCGCTGACAGCCGAAACAGGGAGAGGAGAAAAGAAATGAAAACAGGGGGGGGGGTGTAAGAGACAGGAGATGAGAAAGAAAACCTCAAAAAAAGAAATGGAAAATCAAAGTAGGGGTGGGGCATCTAATGTTAGAATTTGTCTTAAGCTGAAGTTGTTTACCAAAAACTATAAATGAACAAGGAAAAATAATAGAAGCAATACGATGCTATGAAGTTTGGTTGAAACCGGGAGAAGCTGAAAGCCTAGCCGACTATGTACTTAAGCTAATAAAAATTCTTTGATGTTAAAACCATAGAGAATAGACTATATATTAGAGGGGAATTTAGACAATCTCTCGGTATGAATTTTTTCAGTTTCTTTCAGCCTGAAAGGGAGTTCAAAGTGCAACAAATCATGTAAATGTTCACAAATTATATGCAGTAGAGTACATTATTACAGCTTGTTCCCTAGACTGTCCATTTCAATTTCGAATTCTTTAAAGCTGTTGAATAAACTTTATAAAATGAATTAGGTGAATAAAAAACATTATTTCATTTATAGTTATAACGGAAAATCATCGTTTGTAAAGTGATAGGCATTTAGTCTATGTGAAATGATCATTAGTCATTTATGAAACCAGCCTATTTCATAATTTGATTTTCTTTTAATATTAATTTTAGATTTTCTATAAAATGATGTTCCAGGGCCCAAAAGGTTATATAGCACAAATATGTGAAGTACACCTGCAGTATGGAAACATTACAACAAAATGGCCGTTTTACACTTTTTTTTGAGTAAATTCCCCTCTAATATATATTCTATTCTCTATGGTTAAAACATAAAGGTTTGTATAGGTTCTTAAGTGCATGAGTTTATACTAGGGGTCCATGGGTTCATAAGTTCAATTTCATAGGCTTATAGGTTCATAGATTCATATCATTGGTTCATAGATTTATGGGTTCAGAGGAAAGCAATTTCTTTTTAAAGGAATCGAGTTTTTGACCAAAATTCTAATATGCAGCTGATGGTGTAAATTTTTTATATTTCAAATACAGGTAGTTTTATCTAACAGAATTCATAGTTTGAAATATCCAACGCCTACGACAGTTAAAAGTATCGGGATAAGAAAATTTGAGCTTGTGACAAAGACTTAATTCCTTTAAACTTTTTATTCCAAGTAATAACATAGAAAAACTAAAAGGTCATTCTTTTTTGTGTTAATTAGCTTTGGTTGATAATTAATTGTCAAATATGTCAGTATTTCAGAGGCGGGGGGGATACTTTATTACAATACCAGGTTTATCTATGCAAGGTGAGATGGGTGTACCGAAATAACAAACAAAAATATATTTTAAAATGCACTTTTTGTTTTCCGGTTTCTTTATAGATCCAAGAATGTAGTTTTAAAAAATTCGGTAAAGATTAATTTCAGCATTTGGTCAAATGTCTGCAGGGACCCACACAATAACAGATAAAACACTAGATGTCGTCTTTTCAAGATTTAGGGGTTTTCGTTTACAATAACCCTGAGATATAAACCCAAATGAGTTACACGCATGCGGCGTAGAACAGTCTCTCTCCTTGTTTTGTTATTCTACGCAGCATGCGCGTAACTCCTTTGGGCGTCTGACTCAGGGTTATTGAGAGCGAAAAACCCCTTAACCTTGAAAAGACGACATCCAGTGTTCCATCTGTTATTGATAATTAAGGTATCCCACAAGGAACACTGTTTAATGTCAACCATGAATGACAGCTAGGAGTATGATAAGTCTATCTAGTCTGGCTGCAACGTATTAAGTCAGGAAACTAAGAGTCCTGACTGAAAACTTTAGAATGGAATATCCTTAATCCCGATCGGTAAATTAATCTGGAGATTAATATAAAGAGGAGAACAAGCATTATTTAATCTGGAGATTAAGAAAAAGAGTGGATCAAGCATTAATCCCGATATCCGCCATTCAAAAGTTCCCAGCTCTGGATATTTTTTATATAAACCTGTAGATTAAAAAAGATTCTTTGCCACTTATATAAAGGATCTGTAATCTATAAACGTTATACAATAACACCCTTGAAACTCTGAAAAAAATAGGAAAAGATAACGTCATTTTCTGGCTCGAAAAGTGCTTTATTTTTTAGTGAATTTTCCCATTTGTTTCCTATTTCTAACTTATTGATCAGAAAAATCATTTTAGGGTACCGTTATTAATCAGGCATTGCCATCTTTTAATGGAGGGTCACTTGAAATTACGCTAGCAGTCTCTTTAATATATATGTCAATAATCTGTAATTGTATTTAGAGAGCCAGGCAGGAAAATTGAACAACTACTAAATATAAATGGATTATATATAATCAGTTTTCTTTTTAAATTAGATATCATGAAACTGTTCAATGATTGAAAATAAAGTTTTATTTAAAAGCTAAAATGTTTGATAATAAAATTTACAGATTAAATTATGAATAGAAATTATATTTGGAAACTCATCCTAGATTTTCATCTCGATGTTTTAAACCCAAAATCAACTTTTAAAGGGAGTGTTCGCGAAAAATGAAAGGGGGTATAGACTTAATGCGATAAAAAAGCGCTTTTGGTCGCTACTAATCTGACTTCTATCTGTTGCGTCAATAAGGAGTAAATTTTTAAAGACGTCTCATACCGAATAACTTAGCGTCCATACAAATTGAGAAAATTGCAATGTACAGGGTTGCCAAGTGGTTCTGTACGGAACCAAATAACTCAAAATTGGTTCTCTAGAAAATCAGTGGTTCCGGTGGTTCCCAACTGGTTCCAAGATTTTTATTTTGCCTTATCAGAAAAAGAGCATTAAATAACCAAGAATTATCAAAATTCAGTGAGAAAAATGTGATCCTGTTTTGGCCCCCCTCCCCCATCCCTCCACCTTCACTGTGTAGTGTGTATTGTGTACAGTGTACACTGTACACAGTCACAGTGAAGTGAACCTCGCCAGCAGCAGCAGGCTGCCTGCAGCTATAGCGCTTCTTCAAAATCTTCACAGTTTATTTGTAGTTAATCTTTAGTCAATCACGAAAACATAGTGTTTTGTTTAGATGATATTTTTGATATTTGACATTTTCGCTTAAATTTGTATTAATTTAAGTATTGACTGTGATTAATGACTATTAGTAATTACACTTAAATAATTTTCAGACTGAAAGAATGCCGAAAATAGTCGGAAGAAAATACAATACCGAGTGGGAGAAAGAATTTGTTTGGTTGAAGAAATGTGAAGGTAATATACTTATTCTGTGACAGTTACAATTAAATTATAACCCCCCCCCCCCCATTCAAATATAAGTGTCATGTATCATTCTCAAAGGGACTGTAAAATAAATTAGTTAACCAAAGATGGCGATGTCCAATTCTCAAGGATACCCTTAAGAAACCTTTATCTGATCAAAATGTTAAAACTATATGTTTTTTTTCTAGATTTAAATTGTTATTTGTGAAAATTCCTAGTTTTCTATTTTTCCTGCATTAAAAATGTTAAGAGAATCAACAATATGAAAAAATCAGTTTTCTACATTATAAGCGTGGATATTATCAAAATAAATATGTTTCAGGTTTATCTCAGCATGGATATTGCAAACTCTGCAAAATAAATCTGACCCCCCATAAAACATTTATAACTAATCATGGAAAAACAGCATCTCATTTAGCTCGAACATCCCAGGGAGTGCCTTCAGTGTCAAATCATTTTAAACCAGTCAATAGTGACAAAATTAAGGCAGCAGACATTTGTATATCTGTTCAGATTGCTTGCCATTCAAGTGTCAGATCAATTGATCATCTTAGCTCAGTGATTAAAGCACATGGAGAAGGTAGTGTTCTTGGTGCCTTGAAACTTCATAGAACAAAGACTGCAATGATAATAAAGAATGTTGTAACTCCTTCTCTTCAGGCAGAGTTGAAGAAGGCTTTAGCAGGAAAAAAGTTTTCTTTATTGATAGATGAGTCAACTGATGTATCAAGCAGGAAAATTCTTGCCATCTGTGTAAGGTTTTATAATGATGGTGTTGAAGACATCATTGAAGAATACCTGGGATCTGCTGAAGTATTGAGCACAAGTGGAGAGAGTTTATTTACAGCTGTGGCAGGAGTACTGAACAACTTTAATCTTGACATCAAGGAATAGGATAATTTAAAATTCGGATATTTTTTTCCACTCCTCTAAAATTCTTTTAATACATTGGTAAATGGTTTTCAGATTTTAAAAAAATTAAAAAATATCCTTTTCATTAAGGATGTTGTTGGATTTTCCTCGGATGGGGCCAATAATGTAAGTGGAAAAAACAACAGTGTTTGGTCCAGGATAAAGGAAGTTTCTCCAGGATGTGTTCAGTTAAAATGTGTTTGCCATTCTTTGGCTCTCATAATGGAGCATGCATTTACATGCATTCCATCTACAATAGGATTTCTGTTGACAGAAATTCCAGCTCATTTCTCTATGAGTTCACTAAGGAGGGATGAATTTATGCAATTGTTCTTCACAATGAACCCTGATCATCAAGGCGTTCCAACACCTTTTGAAAAATTCTGTAAAACCAGATGGTTAGTTAGGGGAAAGATACTATACAACATCTTAGTGAACTGGGAAGAGTTGCTTGCATACTTCCAGCTCATCATGGATACAGCTCCACCTGGCCAGAGGATGAAAATAAGACAGATCTATCAAACATTGAAGTTAATTCGGATTGTACTTTACAACAATTGCATAATTGCATTCATAATTCATTTATTGAAATCTAAACAAAAATATAAATGTTTTTCTACTTTTTCAGGATCGGAGAAACTTCTTGTATGTTACATTCCTGGTTCCTATTGTCCAGGAATATGAAGCTGTAAATGCCAGTTTTCAATCCTCTTCCCCTGATGTTGATTTGCTTCATTCAAATCTAACTGTTCTCTACAAGAGTACTAGAGGAAGGCTTTATGAGTCAATCTTGGGAAGAGAAAAGATCAAACATGTAAAGGTAAGATCTTAAATTATAAGTTACAAGGTAACCTTACCACCACTTTTTTATTTCTAGCTGAACATTGTATTTATTTACAATGAATTAACTGTACTATTTTTAATTGTGGTCTACAAAAGATTATTTTTAGAGGATTGACTATGGTGTGAAGTTCAACCATGAGTTGGAAACTGCTGAAATTAGACCCGAGTCCAAGGATGAAGTTAGGGAGGTATGTAAGAAGTTTTTGCTGATCGCTGTGGAGCAGACTGAATTACGTCTCCCACAGACAAACAAGATTCTGGCAAACCAGCTCAAACTGAGACCATCTGAGATTGGAAAAGTCTCCTTCCAGGAACTCCCCTTCCCTGAGTTCATGAAGGACCAGGAAAAAGTTGCAGAAGGCTGGAGAAAGGTTGTTCACATGAACTGGGAGGAGGAGCTAGGAGAGAAATGGCAAGAAAATCCTACAGTATTTTGGGGGAATCTAAAAAAGCTTCCAGTTTTCACTGAGCTTGCAGAGTATGCTCTAGCAGTATATTCTCTCCCCTGCTCTAATGCTCAGGTTGAGCGTGTATTCTCCATTATGACATATGTCAAAACTAGATTGAGGAATCGCATACAAGTCCCCATGTTGAATAGCATTCTATTTTTGAAATCTTACCTTCAGGCAAGGGTACCCCTCAAAACTTCACAAGATTTACTAAAGATGCATAAACATCTTTCCCCCCTTTTTAATGTGTTGTGTGTATACACTATTTAACTAAATATCCTAAAAGTTAAGGAAGGGATATTTAATAGACATTATAATTTAAATTCTACCTATTATTGAAAATTACACTTTCCTTGCCTGTAGGCTCGCAGCATCTGCTGTGATAAGTTTGTTCCGACCCCTGATATGTTTAGTCGCATGAATGTTACAATGTATTCTGAATCTGATAAGGGTTCTCATCATCAGACCCCTGAGGAGGTTAATGAGGAGGAAGTGTTTGAAACCATAACATCTCTTCTTGATTAAGCATATTGATATATCAAAACTTATACTGTAAAACCCTTTTTTTTATGTTCTGAAAATTTGTTGCTAAGCTTAGTGCTTAACTTGTTATTTTTTTGATTTTCTTTACATTTTTTTTGCTAAAACTTATGATTCACATGTAATTTTTACTTACTTTATGCTTAATTTTGTTATTTTTCAGTTATAAAATGCCCTTATTTCACTGGTTTTGAAGTGGTTCTGCATAAAGAAATCTGGTTCCCAACTGGTTCCCTACAGTGAAATTTGTGGTTCTGAGCAAAATTTTGGAGTTGGCAACCCTGGCAATGTACGACTTAGATCGTAAAAAATCAATTCAATTTCAAACAAATCATTCAGATATTACAACCTATAGTCATCGATTATCATTCGCTACATTTGTATATAGTTAATATTTTATAATATTTTTTGATTCATTTTTTTATATTTTATTTTTTAGAAAACGTTTTTAACGGATTTCGAAAAATGTGAGTGGTGCGTGGCATTCTAAGATAGTTGCGCAAGCGACAAGAGAAATAAAATTATAAAATATTAAATATAAAACTCCCTTTAATAATGTTGATATTTTACGTATTCGGGCATATTTTACTTTATCTTCAGCATTTCATCTTTTACTCTTTTTATATAAATAAGACTTATATCCTGTCATGCTCCCTATACCTCTCTCCTCCAAGCATATTTATTGTCCAGCTTCTGATTTGTAACAAATATAATGTTTACATTTATTCAAAACTTTTTTGCTGACGGAAAAGTTTTCCACTGTATATCAAACTTTTTACCCAAAAATATCCATATTGCAACTATATCCGCATTTAGAGGTGTTTGATTTTTTGACTTGTTCTTTCGCCTGCCATTGCTCTTTTAAGTTAACTTTTGAATTTACTTCTATTTTTCTGCTAATAAATGTTTTTCACACCCATTTCTAAAATGGATTGAATTCTAAATCTTTTTATGCTTTTTATTCCTGATTTACAAGAAACAGATGTTTTTCTGAGAGTAGAGGCTTTTTGATCCCAGCTAAATTTCTGTGGATTTTCACCAGCTTTCTTCGCACATTTCAAAAAAAATATTCAAATATATGATTATGAATTAGTGAAATCGAATAAAATGGCGAACTAATCTTAAAAACATTCAGTTCAACAAATTAGTAATTGAAATGACCTTGTTAAAACAACCTTGTATCTTAATTGAACAAATTAATTGAGTTTTGTCAAATTCTGATTTTCTAATTCCTATATCTTTGCAACCTGATGTTGTAGAACTTTGATATGTCACCTTTGAATTATGTCCGGACCAAATTGCCTTATTATAGATATCTAAGGTTTACACCTTAAGGTTGCAAAGAAAAGAACTAAGAAAATTTTAGTTTGTGGCGAAGACTCAATTTCTTTACATTTACACCATGTGTTTCTATCTATAGATTTAACTATGATCTTTACTCTTTCTTTTTGTTTTTGTATGAGTAAAAATCCTAGGATTAAAATATTGTCCATGTTATAATGAAGCAACCGGTGGAATTGACAAATATGTTCCTTTTCGGGAAAGGGGTGTGATTTCTTGAAGAAAAGGTGATTTCTTGAAGAAAAGGTGATTTCTTGAAGAAAAGGTGATTTCTTGAAGAAAAGGTGATTTCTTGAAGAGTGATTTCTTGAAGACAAGGTGATTTCTTGAAGAAAAACTGATTTCTTGAAGAAAACGTGATTTCTTGAAGAAAAAGTGACATCTTGAAGAAAAAGTGATTTCTTGAAGAAAACGTGATTTCTTGAAGAAAACGTGATTTCTTGAAGAAAAAGTGACATCTTGAAGAAAAAGTGATTTCTTGAAGAAAACGTGATTTTTTGAAGAAACAGTGATTTCTTGAAGAAAAAGTGATTTCTTGAAGAAACAGTGATTTCTTGAAGAAAAGGTGATTTCTTGAATAAAACGTGATTTTTTGAAGAAAAAGTGATTTCTTAAAGAAACAGTGATTTCTTGAAGAAAAAGATTTAAAGTACAGCCTTGTTTGCAGCATTCTCCAATTTCCAGATTTATTTAGCGTTTATGAGGACAATAAGGAGTTTATGTTGAACCATATAATATGTTAACATCTGGTGTACTTACCCGTCATTTATAGTCTTTCTTTATCATCTTCCTTATTCACTTATATCATCTTCCTTATTCACATATATCATCTTCCTTATTCACATATATCATCTTCCTTATCCACATATATCATCTTCCTTATTCACTTGTATCATCTTCCTTATTCATTTTATCATCGTCCTTATTAATTTTATCTTCCTTATTCACGTATATCATCTTCCTTATTTATTCTATCATCTTCCTAATTCATTTTATCATCTTCCTTATTTATTTTATCATTTTCCATATTTATTTTATCTTCCTTATTCACGAATATAATTTTCCTTATTTCTAATATCATCTTCCTTATTTATTTTATCATCTTGATTTTTCATTTTATCTTCCTTATTCACGAACATAATCTTCCTTCTTCATTTTATCATCTTCCTTGTTTATTTTATCATTTTCCTTATTCATTTTATCAGCATCCTTATTTATTTTATCATTTTCCTTATTCATGTATCATCTTCCTTATTCACGCATCATCATCTTTTTTTATTTCATCATCTTCCTTATTCATGTATCATCATCCTTATTTATTTCATCATCTTCCTTATTTATGTTTGTATCTCCCTCATTTACTTTATCATCTTCCTTACTTTTTAGTAACTTTAAAAAATTCTTTTTTTGTAGAAATTCAACGTGGCTCAAATGTGTTTACTTTGGTAATGTGAATTTTACAACTATTATTCTAAGCGGGGAAAAGCTGCAAAAATATTTATCAATATTTAGCCTGTAAACATTATATAGTTGGTGGAAGGTTTAACCAAACCAGATTATAATAATGTAAACATATACAAACATTATTTTGTACTTCTTTCGTTTAACAACTTGAAATTTGATCGATATATACTATTCTAATAAAATAATTTTTTGTAACTTTTAGTAGTTTTTTAGCATCATCATCAACCCATCATTATCTGCAGGGACTATGGTATCATCATTTAGATGACCAGCTCTATTTTGTGGCGTCACGGCGTGTTCGATTCAGAACGGTACCCTTAACAGCTTTGTACCATCCACACTGAATGAATATCTATGTTTTATCATTAAAAATTGATTATTTTCAATTGCGGATTCTTCATAAAAGTGACTTGCACATTTTCTAAAGAAACAGCAGAGGAATTTGTCAGAGTTAAACACTTTTTGAGCAAACTAAGGTTTAAAATATCAGGCACGGGACGAACTTGGTAAAATTATCAAGGTTTAATGAGTCTTAGTGAGTCAGAAGAATTTAAGAAACTAGGCTTACAGTGCGCTTCGCGCCCATTTTCTATTTCTATTGCAAACATGTTCTCTTTGTATACAATGAAAAACAATAAAGAAAATTTGCGGATTTAAAAAATTTAATGACAATCGAATTTTGTTCGAGGCTAATTTTTTAAATTTTGATCATCCATAAACATTCCCTAGGTTCATGCGTGGTCCCGTGTAAAATTTGTGCGCACTCGGTTTAGTCGTTTTGAAGTTTATTGGATACTATAACAGACAGACAAACAGACAAGCAAAGTGTATATATATAGATAGATAAAAGAAAAAATTCGCCACCAATTATATAAAATTATATTTCTGAAATCCAGGTTTTTTAACGGTATCATGCCTTATCTGGGGTTTAGTCTTTTCATATTTAAAAATCTTTTTTTTTTAATTAAACTCTAATCTTACCTTCCCCCCCCCCTCCCCGGCCCCCGGGCTGGGTTTGATTGATTAGGTATAGTGTTCAAGAAGGAGGGAATAAACATCATGAACTAATAACAAAATGGAGACCGATAATATAAAGAAACATGTAATATTGTCATAAATCACAATTTATACTTTTTAGGTTTTGTTCATTATGTTCTTTGAAATATTTGGTTCGTTACTATTTTATCAGAAAAAGATCACATTGTCGTCTATATATTCTATTTTGCATGTTTTCCATTTTTTCAAATCTCAAAGTAATTTCTCGGGAAATAAAAAATTCAAAGGTATTTTGGACTTAATTTTACCATACTCTTCATTAGTAAAGAGTATTCACGACAGTACCAACATTTATACCTTAGTCTCATCCAGGCGCACAACCAGACATTGAGCAATTTGTTCGCGCAAACCGTGAACATTTTTTTGCCCCCTCCTAAACATTTATGGGGGGGGGGCAAGAAAAATGTGTATTATACTCAACCATGAAAAGACTACCTTACCAATTCAGGACAATATGGGTGGAAATTTTAATTTTGGGTGCATTCATTCAGTTTGGGGCAAATTTAGTTTTTGTGGGGCAATTTTTTAAGTTGGAAGAAATTTAAAATTTTTGTCTCTGAGGCAAATTTTTTAGTTTGGTCAATTTTGCGTATGGGAAATCTTAAATCTTTATTTTGGGGTCAAATTCTATTATTTAAGGGTATTTTTAATTTAATATTAATGCAAATTAAAAATATTTGGTGGCATTTCGAAAAAGCCAGGGTTAGAAATGTTAAATAAAGGGGCAAATTTAATTCTGGTTGGGCAATTTGAATAAGAATGGCTAAGTGTAATTTACAAATCCAAAATTTGGGGGATTTTTTAAAGAAATGTGGAAAATGAAAAGAATCTGAGCTTCTTTTTAAAAAAGCGTAATTTTTTAGATTTTCGAGAACTTTCGAGAATTTCTGGAACTATATGGACCCCTTTTTTTAAGTTAAGGATTACTTTCTAAGCGGATCAGCTGAAAAGATTGGACTTTAAAAGATTCACATAAAATTTTGGAAGTTTAGAAAAAAAATTAAAAGTCACAAAGAACAAAATAAACTTGACAACAAATGGGTATTCGGTATATATTTATGTGTGAACTTGAAACATCTTCTTAAAAGTAGTTTCCTTGAAACTATTGATCATTTAAAATACTGTTAATTTTACATATTCAATTTATTAATGTTAATGTTAATTGTTTTTCTTATTTTAATACATTTTGTCCTGTCTTGTCCTCTCTTGTTCTGACTTGTCCTGTCTTGTTCTGTCTTGTCCTGTCTTGTCCTCTCTTGTTCTGACTTGTCCTGTCTTGTTCTGTCTTGTCCTGTCCTGCCCTGTCGTGTTCTGTCTTGTCCTGTCTTGTTCCTGTCTCGTCCTGTCTTGTCCTGTCTTGTCCTGTCTTGTCCTGTCTTGTCTTTTCTTGTCGTGTCCTGTTTTATCCTTTCTTGTCTTGTCCTGTCTTGTCCTATATTGTCCT